GTTCAGTCAACAGTGCTTCCCAAGTCCGACAGTGCATGACTTGGTTTTCGCAAATCAACTGGTTCATAGGGCTCGCCAGAACAGCCAGGTAGAGATTTGTGTTCAGTCAATTCCATGGGAAGAACTGAGCATAGCCTTTCACTCAGATGCTGCATTCGGAAATGCCAAGGGTCACAGAACTCAAGCCGGCTACATAGCTGCTTTTGTGGATAAGAGATTAACCAAGAATGAAACTAGTGCTTGGTCTCCGTTTGGAAGTCTTTCAAATTGCCGCGAGTGGTAGCTTCCACACTAGCAGGTGAGGCACAATGCTTCACCACCGCAAGTGCTGTAGCTGAGTGGATGTCTCTTCTTTTGGCCGAAGCAAAGCATGGAGCTTTTGATCTTAGGACTAGAGAACAGGTGCAGGGTCATGCTCTAGGACATGTTCAAACCAAATGCCGAGATGAAATTCCTCTGGTTGATATCACTGGAGTAACTGACTGCAAGAGTTTATATGATCATGTGTCTTCCATGTCATCGGTATCAAAGTGCGATGACAAGAGAGTTGCGATTGACCTTGCCATTTTGCGACAGTGCATGAAAAACTCTGGCCTACAGATCCGCTGGTGCCCTTCGGAATTGATGCTGGCAGATGCCTTGACCAAGGATCAGTTTGAACCGAGCGAACTTCTCCGAACTGCACTAGAAATAGGAGAATACCAACTGAATGCAGAAGCCTTCATACTAGCAATCAAGAAATGTCAACGAGAAGGTCGCAGAAAAGGCCGCCACAAAACATGAGACAGCTCATCACCGAGCGTGCAAAAGTCCGTACTGGCAATCAGTTTGCCATGAAAACAAAAAATTGTAAAAAGTCAGCATAACGAAAATAAAATGGGGTAATAATCACTGAGGGGGATAACAGTAAATAATAATAATTAACAGCCGAACATGCACAAATGCCTGAGCGTCTGAAGATTTGCCAGTTGTGTGAGGGAACAGCTGTCAGTCCAGCACTTAAGTTGTCTATGTGCGTGGTTCAATTTCAAGTGAAAGGATTTTTAAGGAGTGTGAAATCACTTCTTGATCCATGAGCCATCCAACATATGGCACTGCATGTCATGTTCTGCAGGGATCTCAACGAGCTCAAGGTGAGTAGAAAAGCTGAGCGCCCACATGTGCGGCCCCGGGTGGGGCTCTCCGCATTCGCATATATATATATATACCCTGAATCCATGATTTTATATATCTTCCCATATATTTTCCAAGGCACCGAAGATACCAGAGACCACCGCGGCGAAGTTCATGCCCACACCCAACAACTCCTGGGGCCCCAACGGTGTCATCCACGGCTGGAAAATTCCTATGAATTGTGGGAAAAACATCGGAAAATCCAGGAAAAAATTGGAAAATCCCTGATAAATGGAGGTCGTAGCTGGGAAAAATCAACTCTAAATGGGAGATTTACCAGCAAGCCATGTTTGACTGCCGGTGGGTACATGGCGTTCATCCCCAAAAATTTTGAGGGATATGGATTGGGATTTGTTTGCAGCAATGTGTCCTTCAAAATGAAAAGGGGTTTTCTGGACGATTGTTTTTTTTTAGGATTTACTTTTATATATGGTTTTTCTATCTTTTTGGGGGCGGCTATAAATACCATAAAGCTCCCATGGAGTGGAAGTTTTGTCCCATTTCTGCTGAGTCGTTGGGGATGGTTTTGCCGCTGGGTTTACCACATGACCATCTGTTTTCCAATAAGAACTTGAGCAACTCACAAGGCTGTGAATCAAAACCCTGGTGCCCTTCTGTTCACATCAAATAGCTGTGATTTATGGATGTTCATGCCCCGCGATATCTGGCATTCTGTTCAAAACCCATGAGAAGTTGGGAGAATCGTTCTAAAAAATGAAGGGTTGAACCAACAAAAAAGTTGGGAGAATCAGAACGGAAAATCCGCCCGCACCGAAGGTGCTGGGGCGTGATCTTCCGGATGGCACTCGTAAAAGGTTACAGGTTTACCTGGGGGGGGGGGGTCGTGCCTTTGACGCTTGGCGTCCATTTTGCGGCTCCATTTTGCTTTCATTTTGTACATAGAATTGCACTATCTATATCTACATGTATGTTAATATGGAAATATGTACACACACATACGTACATCTTACCTGCGGCTATGTATCTATGAACGGATAACCACGTATCACAAAAAAATGCACGTTCCGGCAAAACACAGAGATGTCTTCCAGTCACCTGCAAATGCCAGAGTTAACATCATCTGACAGACGCATTGCAGGTTTCTCTTTGTAATTCGGTTCACATGAACGCGTGTGTAAAGTATAAACAAGTAAGTACCTATACGTGGACATTGAACGACATATGTGCATATATTTCAATGTACATATATTTACAAAAAGTATTCATATGCACTGCAGATGTGTATGTATACACATGGATGTATTGCGCATGCCCGGGTTCAACTGAACACAACGAGAAAATCTGACATGGTTGCGCTGACAAAACCTCCAAAGCCCATGCTGTGTGAACTTCTGCGACATATCTCAAACACGTTCTGTTGCACATGTTCTGAAAAGATCTTGCGCTCAACATTCCGTGTCGTAGCCTTTGCAAGCGCATGTCTTGGGATCACATGATATGGCCGAATGATGACATACTTGTTGTCATGATCTCATCCACAGGTCTAAATGTTCTTCTGTCTCCTTACCTACCAAGCTTTTGCATGTCCGTCTGTATCGATCTGACTACCTACTGACCTCCTTGAATGTATTAGGGCCTGCTTCTATACGTCTTACCCTCAGCATCGATAGTGGAATTTGCGCGACGGAAATCGTGAGTTTCAGGAAAAACCTTTGGTTTGTAGAAAGTTAGCTTGCGTCATTTTTTCTGGCTTCGTGTTTCCTTCTTGGTGCTCTAGGCGCCTGCATCTGATTGTTAGCAGGACAGCCTGGTCGAGCAGATGTCCAAACTAATTTGGTGACATCAGAAGCCCCTCTGTGAATATCGCACATGGAGCCACAAAACTTTATGACTGACTTGAAAAATGTTGGAAAATAGTGTGTCAAAGGTCGCTACCCATAGACTTATGGACCCTTGACGGCCGGCGTACACAGAGAGCTTGCAGATTGTCATGTGACATCTAATTTGAAACCACACGGCGAAACATGAATACATTAAACGATCGCGTCGACAAAAAAAATGACCACAGCCTTGAACTCAGGAAGGTCCGGGTTGTTATGACGTACAGTGGCTTCACGGCAGGTTTGATTTGGGCCCGTACCCTGCGCGAACAATGTAATTTGTTTCGGGGCTATACCAACACAATGCCGGCGGGCAGGAACGTGGACCTTGTGAAAAACGTTATTACTTTCAACACATGGATTTGAACACTGAAACTTGAAATCTTCTATTGAAAATGAGTTCGGGACTGCAGCTTATTGCAACATCCGCACACAGGGTCCGGGGCCATTCTCATAAAACCGCTTAGCGCTGTGCGCGAATCACCATGAAGGAAGTCATGGTGGCACACGGGCGCAGTACGAATTTCTTGCACAGCACACTCAGCTCCACCGGGGCCTGGCCGATGACAATGAATTCTCTGATGACTTGAAGGCACGCACTGCCACTGCAACATCGAGTTCGCTGATAGGCACGAGGAACAAAAATTCAATATTTGACTTCGATCGTCGTTCAAGTTTCGAACCACACATCACACCTATATCCGTTCCGGTGTGGCCACCAATGACGGTTGGCCATGTGACATGAAGACTGGATCGGTTCCCAATGACATGTATACTCATGTTTGCGACCGTCTTTAACGCACCGGCATGGAACTCATAAATGGCACTATGTGCCCCCAACGAGCTAGGCAATGGAAAGATGCCACTGATCCACAGGTTCGGCGCTCCATATTCTCTGCATCCGCTTGCACCCAGAAGCAGACTAAAAACCATGCTTTACAGAAACTTTACATGTTGCAACCCACCTGCCTGTAGACGTGTACAGTGTAAGACATGAATGTTGTTCACAAACCATGGCTGAGATTGTAACGCCCCAAAGACATGTAGGATTATTCCAACATGCCTCTCCACTTTCTCCCACGTGGCTGCGCACCTCAAAGCGGCGCGTCTGCAGAGGATGCCACATCAGCAGGCACTGCTGCGCGACGACTTGGCCGCCTGGGCATTGCGCAAGGTCGTTCCGGTATTTAATCCAAGCGAGCAGGACAATCACACCAATCGTTAGAACGCAACGTACTCAACAAGTGATGTGTTGCATCTGTTGTCACCTTAAAATCGTGCTTCAACTTGCGATTAGACGATTGGCTTCTGGTTCCTGCGCCACCGATCGATGGCAGGTGTGTCTGAGATTGTTTTAGAATTACGCGGCCAAAAGCATCGTGCATGGTAGAATAATGGGGCCGTCGACCCTGGATACCTGGAGCTTCTGGGGAGCTACATGGACAACAACGGCTATAGTGGTCAGGGTAGGATTGCACGCTTTCTATGTGGAAAAACATGTTTAAAAAGAAACAAGGTCGGAGTCTCGGCCTTCAAATGACCACAAAACGCCGGCTGCATCACAAGTTTATACTTGCAACTGTTTGCGCACGCAGGCAACTAACCAGCAAGCTAGAGGAGTTTACTGGGTGGGGGTAAGCAGTCTGGACATGAATGGCAATGTCACACGTGAAGACAACAGCATGTGATTGGGGCACAAAATGGCCAGCAGATAATGCATGCGCGATGCCAATGCAGCAGCTGTGAAGCACCTTGCAACCAAAAAGGCGAGGCAGCTGTCGCGGTATAAGTGGGATGCAGCAAATTGCGCACATTCGAATTTAGTCCGGAGCTTTGCATTATTCAGAAGGGCGGCAGGCGTAGCTTCAAGTGCGGCGGACTCGCACTGCGCAGCGCATGCGTTGGCGGGTTGGCAAAAGGAACGCATGGTAAAACAAATGGTTGGGATGCCTTCCTTGAAGGTTAGCGCAGTTTCGAATAACGAATTCAGAGGAGAAATAGCTGGTTGGACAAAGCCCTAAGTTTGACCATCGTTGGGTGTTGTAGCGCTACAGAACTTTGATCTGCCGCATGTGTACCATGCACTAATTGTTGCTCAGCTTGCGCAACAAAGCCTACATGTGGATGTTTGCAGTCAAGAAGCTTCTTCTGGGTAAAGACGGTGCGTTTGCAGACGGGCTTTTGCAGACGGCTTTGCGGATGCTTGAGCTTCCTGTTCTGGACTTCCTTGCTCCATTGCTTTGCTTTCTCCCTTGCCTTGTCCTTTCTGATGGCCACCTTCTGCGGGTCCAATTGATGCACAGGTCTGCGCAAGTCCTCTCTGGAAAGTGTTGGCTGGATGCGCCCCTCTTCAAGCGGCGGGAGAAAGCCTTTGGTCAGCCAACCTTGCATGAGGCTTAAGATCTCAGATTCTTTTCTTTGTGCCAAGGTTGGAGAGTAAGCGGCCGAATGATGCGCCAAGAGCTTTGCTAAGCTAAATGCTTCCAACTGCGGAGGAAATGTTTGGATGTGCTGCTGGATGATTTGCTCTTGACAGACTTTGAGCTGAAAGTGCAAAGCCTCATTGCTGCACGTGCCAAAGCTAAGGAGCTCCACTTCCTTCGGGGGCATGGCTTGGTGAAGGGCTGCTATGATGTGGGAACCGTTCCACAGGTACCTGAAGTGCGTGTAAGACGTGCCGGCTTTCAAGACCTGCTGGATTGTACGCCCCTTCTTATCCTTTCGCTTCATTTGGTCCAAGTGTTGGGCACAAAGCACTTCGATGTCATTGATGAATTCCTGGTGGCCGGAGTACGGCTTTGTCACCCGGGCATCCCAATCCCAGTCCGCTGGCACACCATCTTTGGCAACTCCATCTGACCACTGTCCTGCATCATGCTCATCATCTCCATCAGTGCCACCATGGAAGAAGGATCCAGCACATGGCAAGCGAAAGCGCAGCATAATCCGGAGTAGGTTCGATGACAAGGCCGTCCGCTTCTCACCAGTGCAAGCTTCCACTCGCAACACCAAGTGCAAGGCATCTTCTGCAACAGCTTCCAGGTTTGGCAAGACATCAGTGGAACCTTCCACGGAAGCAGGATTGTCAGAGAACATATACTTCACTGTCATGCGGGCATCATGTGGGAGCACCTGGGCTACAGCAGAGCGGAAACTATCCGGACCTTCTGTGCGCTGGAGGCTGAAACCAGGGACAGCTCCAGACCGGCCAAGGAAGGTATGCAAAGCATGGAATTCTCCTTCTTTCTGCTGCATGGGCATTTGTCCGATGGCGCTGAAAAGGACTTGGTAGGTCGCATCATGACTGCAAACCACCCACTCCGCATGCACGGTGGCAGTTGCTATCAAAGCAGTTCGCAGGGCCTGCACAGGCTTCAAAGCCATGACCTGCTCAAAGACGGCCTGGCGTGTGTCCCCTCGGCGACACCCAAGCCAAGCACAAGGACTACCTTGACAAACCCACTCAGTAGTGATGTCATTGAACATGCTGTGGATCTTGCCTCTGTGCTTGATGGCTTTGGCCAACACCAAGTCCGCAAAGTCATTGCTAATGTAGAGCATCTTGTTGATTCGGAGTGCCTGGGCTGTATGCTGCTTGAGGACATACTTCGGCCCAGCGCGGGTCAGAAGCAAAGCCATGTCGACCGTATTCTGCTTCGACACAAAGTGAAGGGAAGCTGCGTCCAAAGAGACCCAATCTCGCATGCACATGGCAGCTTGGGAAAGCAGGGTGTCCGTGCCGGCAGGACGCGCAGCCAAAGGACTCAAAGCCTCGCAGGGGTATATGCATGATACTTTATACATGCGATCAGAATACGAGAGGACACAAACTCTCCGACCCTTGGGCCCTGCCTGCTTCTGTTCAAAGATAGCGCACGCCACAGCAAACTGCTGCTTGACAGTGACAAAGTTCTTCTCTGCTTTGTGGTACTTTTCGACATGCGTGAGCAAGGAGGACCTCCTGCTGAACGATCGGAAGGGGCACAGGATGCACTTGTAAGTTGCCTCTGAGGCGTCCGGGTTGGAGCAGCCGGCTTGATTTTTGAGACCTGGGCACGGGCAGGTCTTAGCGCCAAGGTCACGCTGAAAGTCAGTTGGCTCAGTTGCGCTAGAAGTGTGTTTGTTGCGCTGTCCAAACATGTGTGCACATGTCAGCCAGCAAGGCACACCCCTGTTCCCATGCAATAGAAAGCCAAAAAAACACATCACGTTTCATTCGTCCCGCTCGCACTTGGGCGGCGATCACTGACTGAGGCCCAGACGGGTAATCTCTTGCAATACTTCTCTTTCCATGCAGGCGCGAACTTGTGGCGCCACGGAGCTCCAGCCCTCCTCGGCCTCCATTCCTGCTTTCAGTTGGACTTCCAGGCAAGTCGAAGGTGCTTCCTTTCTCCTCCTCTTGGCCGCGCGATCGTCTGCGGAGAGCACATTGACTTGGAAAACCTGCGTCCCGTGAGCTTTCGACAAGTGCTTCCACAACTTTTTTGCATTGGTTTGGATGCATTCTTCCTCGGCGGAGCTGTAAATGTGAGCAGCTTCCTGGACCAGCTTCAGTCCGTATGCATGGCCACAATCCTTGGCTGATGAGCTCGATGCATGTAGCAAGAAACACATTCCATCGCCGCACTGCTCTGCTTGAGACAAGGACACAGGCTCTATGGAAAATTGAGGACAAAGCTGCATCATGTGCTGGTAGGACATAGGCTCTGGCAAGTTGGATGTTGCGGCCTTCAAAGGGTCAGCCTCCTCGGGGAACAAATTCAAGAGAGCAGTGCCGATACAGGAGTAACACCCAGGAATGTGATGGATCGCGCCCATCCTGATCCCAGCATTGTTTTCCAAAATGGATTCCAGGATTTGCTGCACTGTGAGCATGGGCGGGCTTCTGTCCAGTGGTTTGACCTGCATCATGATTCCAGTCTGACTGTGGAAATCTTCCAGCAAAGCCTGTTCACTTGCTGCTGAATCTACTTCTTCACCTGGCATGCTCAGATTCGCTTGCGGGACAGCAAGCACTGCGTCAAAGACTGGTGCAACTAGAGCGAAGCCATGTTTGGCCAGGAGGCCGCAGAACAGCTGCATTGCTTTGTGTTCCTTGTCAAAAAGCAAGAAAGCCATGGCGGAAGTTTCGGGCCGCGGGCGCTTTGCTGCTTTCATGTCTTGAACTACCGAGGGGAATTTTTGACAAAGCACCGCCCGCAACTTCATGGCATCTGCAGCGAGGCCCTCCAACAAGGGACAGGCCACAGGTGAACCGCCCGCGCGAGATGGAAATGCAAAGCCAAAAGAGGCCATGAGGAGCGCCTTTTTGGCATCATGCTCTGAGAAGGAGAACCAAGACATCACCACTTGGCGCCATTCAGCTTTGAAAGCGTGATACCGCCGAAAGCACGGCAAGTCCATGGCATACTCTTCAGCGAACTTGAGGGCAAAGTGGATCACAGCATTGGGCATGTCGAACTCCTTTGTCCCCAGTGGGCTGCCGTAGCTTCTGGCGGAACGAGATAGGGTTGGAAAGCTCACCCATGGAAAGAAGACACGTCCGAGCGATTCACCTGCCACTTGTTTTTGATGCCCTGTAGTCTTCACAGTGACCAAGTCTCCGACGGTCTCGTTGTCTCTTTCACAAATCTCTGCAACTTGTCGGGCGTGCAAACCCTTCTCTCCAAGTGTGGATGCAGCATACTGCTTCAATCCTTCAAGGTTGATGTTGCAAGAGATGGTCCAAGAGTCACCACGAGGAAGGCCAGTGGGGTCATCCATGGTGTCTGCCAGTGAAGCTTCTGCAGCTTGTGGCCAAGACCAATCTTGCCAAGTACCAGCAATTTCTTCAACCCGAGCTTCACCTAAGCATGTTTGGAGGCAAGTCTGCCAGGCGTCAACTTTCAAACATCGACGTTCGAAGCGGTCCAACGCATTCCCAGCACGGACTTGGCCATCAACGGACCGAATGAGATGGGGGAACTCGAGGATGGACTCCTTGAGGTACTCTACTCTGAGTTTCTTCCCCGGCTTTTTTGGCGGAGCTGAACCTGGATTGGAAGGGGCCAAAAGGCGATTGACTTCCTTGGCAGAGAAAAACTGAGTGGTGACAGCCGCATGGGTCTCACGAATGATCCGTTCGGAGCGGCTTTGCGCTACCGGAATTTCTGGATGTGCAGGTCCTTGTCCTTCATCGGGATTTGGGCGCTCGCTGCAGCGGCTCATCTTTTGGAGGAGCCAATGCGTGTCCTTGTACAAAGTGGTCTCGGGCATGAGGTACTGCAAGTTGTCACTGCACTTTTGCAGACCATTGGAGCGAAGATGTGGAAACAGAAAATCCTGAAAGAAGCACCAAACAGCGGCGCCAGAGGCCATGAACTCTTTGGCACTGGGATCTGCTTGGAAGACTTTGTTGGCAACATCAACTTCATCTTGGATGGCCGTGAACTTGGACCGCATGTAGGTGCAGCGGAAGCGCCTTTGGTGCGAGACTTCTTCTGCAGTGGGCACCCGCGGGATATCTCCGACATTCGTAGCCCACACCTTGGCGGAATGTGCCCAGTGTCCGTATTTGGTTTCTGCTTCATGGTTTCTCCGCAATGGTAGCCAACCCCCACCCACGAACACTTTCACGGTATCCTCCATGATTCCCTGATCTCTTTTGCATTCATCGAAAGTCAGGAAAGATGAATGGATGAAGTTGACGCCCTGGACCTGAAATTCACGGTCCGCTTGCAGCATACTGCACGGGGCGCAGCTGAAAGCGCTGCCAAACACAGCTTGCATGTGGTCGACAAATATCAAAGTCTTCCCATCATGTCCACAGCCCACAACGATGTGGAGCACATCTGGCTGCCTCACCCGGGCCACCACGAGGGCACATTGATTGAGTAAGACTTGAAGGCCAGCCGAGCCTGCAAAGGAAGACAAGAGAATGCTGGCATAGCGTCGACGTGTGTCCATGGAAGGTGTCTGCGAGATGGACGTGGGGATGGCAACGTAGCATCCATGCCGCGCATCCTTCTGCAGTTGCTGCGGTTGTCCATCCACAGTAGAAATGAAAGCATCTTGGAAGCATAGCCCGGGCTGCTGTTTGCTGCGGATTTCTTCATCGCCCCAACGTTGAAAACATTTGACGATAGTCCTCGTGTTGTACCCACACAGTGAAGAGTATGTTTCCATGAACAGTCTCAAAACCACACTTGGGCAATGAATGCTGGAGACCGTACATAGGAATGGCGCTGAATCCGGTGTGGTTTCGTTTGACTATCGTGCTGGCACGTTAGCATGGAGCATGGTAGTTTGAATTCAAACCCGTAACCCGGAGTCAGTCTGTGGGACGTTTCCTGTCCTGGAGTGCTCGTCAAACTGATGCCGCAAATGGCGGCACAACTCGGACAAACCATACAGCCACTCTCTGGCCTTGACTTCGGCCTTTCGGGGCAGGATGTCTTGAAGTTGCCACTGTAGCAGTACGTCCTCCAGACCCACTTGCTGGATAGCTTTGATCTCGAACACGATGTCTTCGTAGGTCCTTTTGGGCTTCATCTGGGCCATGACGGCAAAGTATGCTTGAGATCTGCGCAGGGCTTGGAGGATGAACTCGAGGTTGACTGAGGAAAGCCCTTGGGAAGCAGGGGCCCATGCACCATTGCAATACTCAAAGAGTTGTCCTCCGTGACTGCGATAGAGTTCGCCGGCCACCAGAGCGAAGACCTTGCATTGCAACAGCTCAGACTTGCCATCATCGGGGCTCGTCGCCAACAATCTCGGCACCAGGCACTGCAAAGAACGTGGAAATGCGGTTAACACACTTGAAGCAAACCATTTTTGTATAGGATTGAATGTTGACTTTGGAAACGGTTATAGAAGGTCTAGCTTCCGGCTAGGTGGGAAGCGCTAGCAGGTAAGGAGGTGCTTGAAAGAAGAGTTATGTAGAGAGACATGCATCATGGTGACACACTGACAAGCCGCCGCAAAATTTGTATTTGTAGTGCTCCTGGCAATGGCGAGAGCGGGAGGGAGGGTTTGTGAGGTTAGCTGAGGAAGCAGAGCGTGCATGTGTCTGCACCAGCAATGGGAAAGTGCAAGAAGCTGACGCGCTCAGATCGCTTTTGCAAGCAGACGTGATCTGGCTGTAATCGCTTATGTGTGAAAAACTTTTTAACCATGGTGCCTTTTTTTCTCGCTTGCGTTCAAAGCAGTCTCGCATCGTTGCTACTTATCCATCGCTGGAACATCCATTTCTGCAAGATGTCTCGCCGCAAAGGTCCCTTGAGCTAGCTTGCAACGGCTGCATGCACTTTGTTCATGCATGTAAGGTCGCGTCGCAGCGCTAATTGGCTACTTTGGGCGATAGCTTTGCGTTAATTAGGGTCGTTTTGGTTACGCCGCGTATAGGGTAACATTGCGCATCAAAGGAAGGATTTGCGGCAGCACGTGTTTCGGCTCGTTGCGTCCACTTGGATTTCAATAACTACCCATGAATTACCCATGAATTACCCATGAATTTGATCTTGGCAGCATGGCAATTTCAATACTGTTGGCACAGTGACATGTAGATCTGAATGGACAATTGTGGAGGCAAGGGACTGCAAGGTCGTTTGTGCGGCTGCGCGCTGGGACTTCTGCTGGTCATTCAAGACTTTGCCGTGCCATCCAAAGGATCGATCAACTTTTCGACGGAAAGCCGAGGTCTCTTCTGCGAGCGTAGCGGGTCTTTCACACATGTCTTGTACCACTGTGACCGTGCCGACATCGTCAAAGAGGCGGGGTAGCCAATCTGGTTGCCAGAGCTGCAAAATTGAAGACGGGTCATGAGTTTCTTGGGAGTGTGTCACTGCGGCCCCTTCTGCTTGGTTTTGGCATTGGCTCGGAGGGGCTTGCAAGAAATCTGGCATTGGCGGCGGCGCAATTTCTAGAAGTGCACGGGCTTGACCATGCTTGGCCATCCACTCTTTCATAGCAGCTGGAAAGTGGTCGACATTGTCCACGCCGGCGCCACCTCCCGAGTCCCCAGGCCGGCCTGCTTCAGCTTGCGCCATGTGCTCTGCCACCAATTGCGACAGCGCTTGTGAAAAACCTTGGAAGATGCCGGATGGCATTCATCGTGGTCCAACCTATTGCGCCCTACATGCCCCCATGAACCATGAGATGAAGACGCCCCAGTCATCGTATAGTCAAAACGTGCATGGCAGCATCCATGCACTGGAACGAATGAGCCATGCGAGAAAGTCATGGCCAATACATGATGCCATGTAGGTTCCGCTATACACAAAAAGTGATGTGCTGATACGGTCTCGTGATTCGGTCTCATGAATATATGACCATAACATACGTCATGACTGCTGACATGTACCCCGCAAATCAGGAAGCTTGCCTCGATGTGTAAGCATGCCCATGGGTGCGAACACCCGCAGCCCCTGAATCCATCTGAATCCCAATACGAGTTGCTCGGACTAGAAGCAGTCTCTTGGCCTGCGCTTGTTTCGGCCCAAGCGGTGGCACAACCATCCACATGACCCATTGTCACGCACCAAATGGTTCATGTCTGCCACGCTTAGCTTTGACATATCCAACGCCAAACAGCAAGCAGTTCTTTAGATAGCTATGGCTGTATTTATATAGTCAGTTACAAAAAAAAACATTTGGAATGTGTTTGGAAATACACGAACATGAGCAGATGTAGCTGTAAACATATATATATACGGATAGGTAGAACTATCTGTATTACGGTAAATACATAGATAGATAGATAGATAGATAGATATATATATATATATATTGACACTTATTTTTCATTTTTGTAAAACTAAATAAAGGTGTTGGCCTGTTATGGTCTGTCTTGCTCACCATCCATGAGGGTCGAGGTGCTGAACTGCCGGGACTGAAGTGATACATTCATTTTTGATCTCTTAAATTGGCTGGACGGCAAAAGACGCCGCTACCCCAGGAAAAGACACCGAAAACCCGGGAAAAGACGCCGCTGGAAAAACCGTATAGTTGTAATAAAATATGAGGTACCTCATGGAATTCACGATCAAACATGTCGATCATGGAATTCACGATCAAACATTTCGATCATGATCATATACCGGAAATAGTTTATCCGATCGATCATGAGTGTTTGATCAGATAGTTCATGGTCAAATAGTCCATGATCATATAACCCGTGATCAAACAATTCATGATCAAGACTTCATGATCGATACTTCATGATCGAATAATTAATGAACGATACTTCATGATCGAATAATTTATGATCAACTAATCCAGGATCAGATAACCCATGATGAAACAATTCATGATCAATACTTCATGATCGATATTACATGATCGAATAACTAATGATCGATACTTCATGATCGAAGAATTTATGATCAACTAATCCATGATCGATAACCCATGATCAAACAATGCATGATCAATACTGAATGATCGATACTTCATGATCAATACTTCATGATCGATATTTCATGATCGAATAATTTATGATCAACGATGGGACAATGGGACCAATGAAACAGAGCGATGGGATTTGGATGGGGCTGTGCCGAGGGAATGATCATGGTTCAGATCTAGAATCAAGGTGAACTTAAGATGAATCTTAATGAAATCAAGATGGATCATAATGAATCAAGATGGATCTAAATGAATTCATGGAAAGAGCCGCTGCTTTGAAAAAACAGCCTGCAAATCAGAAAGGCAATTATTCTCTTAAAGGCAAAAATTCAGCAATCCGACGAGGATCTAGGAGTAGATGAGGGAGCCATGTATGTAAACACGTACGTTTGTGTGCAACAATGTTATCGTATGGTCTCATGGTGCACCGCCTACCCATCGTTGGGCAAGCTCGGTCCGTCCCATCCTCCTGGCCTTCGGCGCTGAGCATCCAAGATTGACTACTGCAACTTTGCCACTTTGCTTTGTGTTGTTGGTGTTTTCTGTCCCTAGATTCTGTCCATATAGAGGTGACCTGCATTTTTATAAACTTATCAAGGTATTTGTGGATTTGTTCGGCTAGCTTGTTGTTTATGACAACCCTTCCTACGCATGCGCGTCGGTGACCTGTGACTGTGGCTTGCCCTGTTCACCGTCTTTAGCGGGAGTTGACAGTTGTAGAATAGTTCTTTCCTCACATGCATGCCAGTACGTGTGCAGAATCGCACATTGGGCTAAGATGCTGTAGGCAACCAATTTCTGTTCAGTTCAAAGCACGGAGAAGGCCGCGGCGAAGCAAGTCGGACTGTGCAGAACTCGCCCCTTAGGATTGCAATTCAATATACATGCTTCGAACATCTTCGAACCACCTTTTTCGGGATTGTTGATACCAACTAATGACTAGTTTGGGCCATATCATTGGTATGCTTTTAGGCCACTGCAAGGAGCGAGCATTGGAAGTCACCACGCGGGGCCCTGCTAACCAACGTACAAAAGTTATTTGTGGCAAAACTGCTGCCATCAAATGTGGAACCCGGCAGAATGCGGCCAGACTGACGGGCCGGACAACAGCGGCAAAAAGTTATAAAGTAGTGCCCGTGCTGGACACATGCATGTGGCCGCCGGTGAGCGGGAAGAACTTCATCGCTCACATGAGAAACACCGGGCCAAATTTGATCCATGCAAATCTATTGAGCCCCGAGGCCTATATGTATGGTATGCAGCGGGGTCGGCCTTGTGGTTGGCCGGCCTGGTCGGCTTGGTCGGCTTGGTCGGCCTGGTCGGCTTGGTCGGCTTAGTCGGCCTGGAGTCGGTCTATGGTCGGCTTGGTCGGCTTGGTCGGCTTGGTCGGCCTGGTCGGCTTGGTCGGCTTGGTCGGCTTGGTTGGCTTGGTCGAGCTGCATGGTCTGCCTGGTCGCCTCGGTCAACGTGGTCGGCCTATTAGTCGGCCTGGTCGGCCTGGTCGGCTCGGTCGGCTTGGTCGGCTTAGGCGGCCCGGTCGGCCTGGTCGGCTTGGTCGGCCTGGTCGGCCCGGTCGGCGTGGTCGGCCTATTAGTCGGCCTGGTCGGCTTGGTCGGCGTGGGCGGCCCGGTCGGCCTGGTCGGCCTGGTCGGCCTGGTCGGCCTGGTCGGCTTGGTCGGCCTGGTCGGCCTGCTCGGCGTGGTCGGCCTGGTCGGCCTGGTCGGCTTGGTCGGCCTGGTCGGCTTGGTCGGCTTGGTCGGCCTGGTCGGCCTTGTCGGCTGGGTCGGCTTGGTCGGCCTGGTCGGCCTGGTCGGCTTGGTCGGCTGGGTCGGCTTGGTCGGCTTGGTCTGCCTGGTCGGCTTGGTCGGCTTGGTCGGCCTGGTCGGCCTGGTCGGCTGGGTCGGCTTGGTCGGCCTGGTCGTCTCGGTCGTCTCGGTCGGCTCCGTCGGCTCCATCGACTTGGTGAGCTTGATGCGCTGCTCTGTGCTGTTTCTCTGCGGTTGGTTACGTCTATTTTGCGGCTGGTTGCGTCCATTTTGCGCCTGCTTTTTCTTACTTTCTTTACTTTCGCTTTCTAAAATGATACGGGCTTGGCCTGCGATATAGCCTCCAAGTGTCGAACCTACGGGGGGGGGTCCCATTTTTCGGCCAAAACCTCCTGTTTTTGATAGGTCGTGACGCTCGCCTTCAAAAAACACTGTAAAAAACAGTACGGAAGACACCTGTTCGTGAACGCGCCCGTCCAAAATCGGCAAGCGAAAAGTGAAAAAAACCCGTGTTTTTCAACTTTTTTGACCTCAATTTTTTGGTTTGCAACATCTTTTTTTGCGGTTCCGCAGGTGGCCGGGCCCGGAGGCGGATTTTTGAGTTTTTGGACCCGTTTTCGGACTGATTTTCGTCGTTTTGTGATAGCAGAAACACTGGTTTTTACAGTGTTTTTCTGTTTTCTGCATGCTTGACGGCTAGCTTCAAAACTTCCAAAAACCTCGTAAATTACGCTGTTTTATGTTACGGTGTGAATGAAAACATCGTAAATACCAGTGTTTTTTGACGTTGGTTAAAAAAACACTGTAAATTACAGTGTTTTTGGCCACCTGACCCTCAAAAACCATGGTATTTGCAGTGGTTTCTGCTTCTCACCGCGCAAAAACACTGTAAATAACAGCAATTTCGCCGTTTTTTCATGTTTTTCGTTATTTTTTGAACTGCGTTGGTCCGCTATACATGGCTATCAAATTCTTCGCGTTTTTTTTCCGACAATCAGTACTTTCGGATGTTTTTGGTCTCAATGGCCGACATCATTGGCAGTTACGAGCGGCTGCCCAACGATGCGGTGCGGGCGGTTGCCGTCGCGAAGCGACGTGAATAAGGCGTGATGGGATATAGAAAAAGAAAATGGGTATAGCAGCAAGCCGGGATATCAGCAGCTAAAGACGGGGGCTTGAAGCGACAGTTGAAGCAGCGAAGATGAAGCCGATACCGTTCAATATCCTCAATGTCATTAAGTCTCGCTCATCATTGTTTACATCCATGGTTGCAAGCTAGGCATACATGGTCTTGCTGCTTCTACCACCCCCCACGTCGGCTCAAATGCCATGAAATCTCATGTTTGATGGCCAAATAACACCTGTTCTTAAATGTTCTAAGAGCATAGCAATTTTTGCTCCAAAAAATCACAAGTTGTGGGTTTCCAGGGTTCCAGCTCTCCGGTTCCCAACAAACGAACCACTCCCAAACCCCACAGATCCCAACAGTCACTGGGAAAACCTGCTGGGATGCTTGGGTTCCAAGTTTTGAGACATCGCCATTTCATCGTCCACGTTGGAGGTTCTTTTTTGCGTAAATCCACTGGTGAAGCAGAAGCATCGACGTTTTCCGAACATTAAAACGGCCATGCATTGGGGTATCCCCGATTTTCAGACATATCCAAAAATACACTGTTGGCGATATTTCCCATGATATCCCCATGAAATATCCCCAAAAATGTGTTGGTTCTATGTATATATGTTCACCTAGAAAGCTATAATCTCATTTTGTGATGGTCAAACAGCGTTGACCACTTTCCATAACCAAAACATTGTGGGATTACGCTTTCCAATTGATATTTATCACCGTTTCATGGTCCCATTTCATTTTCGAGCATATACACATCTACTACCATGTCATCACTGTTTATAATACATATAATATATATATACATATACATACACGTACGAATGTTCCCCATTACATTATCTCCACATGATATTTCCCACTATCTCCCCATAAGATGTTTGATTCTGTATGTATATATATATACACATACATAGCTTTTCAAGATTTTTCAAGTATCATGAGAAATCATCGTTCCAATTCATCCAATTCATCCCCATAAATCCCCATGATTCCCATGGTCCATGGTCCAAGTCTCCAAGGCCAACTGGGACTTCTCCAGTTCCAATCTCCGGGAGCTCAAGCGCAGCGAAATGAACTGCTCCAGGTCATCCATGGACTCGGCATGGGCTGCGGCCTGGAAGTCGGCGACTGGGCATCTTTATGACCGGTGAAGACCAGCTATCTAATACGTATGTACGTATGTACGTATGATTACGTATGATTACGTATGATTACGTATGATTACGTATGATTACGTATGATTACGTATGATTACGTATGATTACGTATGATTACGTATGATTACGTATGATTACGTATGATTACGTATGATTACGTATGATTACGTATGATTGCGTATGATTGCGTATGATTGCGTATGATTGCGTATGATTGCGTATGATTGCGTATGATTACGTATGATTGCGTATGATTACGTATGATTGCGTATGATTACGTATGATTACGTATGATTACGTATGATTACGTATGATTACGTATGATTACGTATGATTACGTATGATTACGTATGATTACGTATGATTACGTATGATTACGTATGATTACGTATGTACGTATGTACGTATGTAGGTATGTAGGTATGTACGTATGTAGGTATGATTACGTATGATTACGTATGATTATACGTATGTAGGTATGTACGTATGTACGTATGTACGTATGTACGTATGTACGTATGTACGTATGTACGTATGTAGGTATGTAGGTATGTATGTATGTACCTACGTACGTACGTATGTATGTATGTATGTACGTATGTATGTATGTATGTATCTATGCATGCATGCATATGTGTGTGTATGTATATATATATATATATATACATACATCATATACTCATATAGTTTTATACAGTACATATATATATTGTATATATATATATTGTATATATATATACACAGATATACCCTCCGGTAATCAAACATCACAATGGGAAATCCACTATCAATGGAAGTTTTAGTGAGAAAATCATCTATAAATGGAGGATTTCCCATTGCCATGTGTGATTGCCCGAGGGTACATGGAATATCCCCAGTTTAAAATTCTGGGTGCGTGCCGTTTGTGTTAAATCTTATGGGACAAATCAAGCAGCCTTAAATCTATTGGTGAATCATCATTATCCCCATCAAATCGCCGTTTTTTTTTTGTGGTGGTATACTCCATTTTCAGACATACCTATTCTAGATCATTTGATATCATTTGTAATGTACAATTCCGGCTTACTTTGCAGAAAGAGGACTATTAGGGTTAAATCCATGATGCGGCCGTCACCTCGCGATTTCGCACTGACCCCGCCTCCGCGTCGAGTTCTTCTGCACCCTGCGAGTAATACTCGAAGCAGAGTTCCCACTCCTGGTCCAGGCCCGACAGACATCAAAAACCAGCAAAATCAGTTGTTTACCCAATAAATGAAATTGATAGAGATACCTAAGATGAAATTTTGGCTGTTTACCACCAAAACAACTGATTTTCCAAAATCCCATCAAACTGATTTTGGTTGAGAGATAGAATTTGGGTAAAACAAGTAGAATCAGTTTGTCCACTCAAACTTTTGGTGGTTTTTTGCCACCCCTCCTTTTTTAACAGCACAACAACAAAGATGCTCAGTCAGGATCATCCCCAATGGTTGGAAAATACTTGAGAATAACAAATACCCTCTGGTTATTTAACATAGCCATGGAAAATGGTCCATTTATAGATGGTTTACCTATTAAAAATGGTGATTTTCCATGGCTATGTTAAATAACGATACGGTAGTTGAGACCACCAAGCAGTTTTCCCTTGGATGAATCCATCAAGTTTCGTGCTCTCCATCATTCCAGCGTCCAACTTTCCCAGGTCTCCTCTTTGGTAGGGCCAACTGCCCCCGCCAATTGAGAAAGGTCGTCCTGGTCGCTTCGATAAGCCATCCTTTTTGGGGTAGATGGGCCACTCATTTTTCCACCCATAACCCCCTATCAGATTCCAGCCATGTGGAAACATGTGGATCCACTCCTCATCATCCAAAGCTTCCAGGAGGGTTTGCTGAAAGCTCTTTGCCTGGGCCCATGCTGCGCTGCTGGGTTCTTTCCTATCCCAAAAGAATACACGGAAGTTATGTTGGAAAATCCAAAGATGGTTGAAACCACTACATAATCAGGCGCTTGCAGCGCTTGTATCTACAATGAATATCAACAGCTACTGATTTCGATTCTGAAACGTACTAGAAACCACAGCAGTCAAGTTCAACTGTCTGGAGCTGTTTTCAGACTTCCATGTGTGCTGCAGACATTTTGAAAGCAGCGGAATCTCTGTATCCCACTTGTTTTTGGTGCCGGGCATCTGAGGAGGCCCCCGCTGTTGTCAGTTTTTGACATTACACTAAAAACAACATCATAGACGAGGGGGGTCATGGCTGCTGTACGTTCTCATGCACTTGCACACATACGTCATGCTACGCTGCTGTACGTTCTCATGCACTTGCAGATCGTAGGGCGGGTGTTAGGTGGATGGTTGTGGATATGTAAGTGATGATGATGATGATGATGATGATGATGATGAAATTGCTCCTGCTGCTAAAGTTTCGTTTTTCAGCGTTTTGTGGTCCCCCCTGTAAAATGTTTGAAAAGTGACAACAGCGGGGGCCCCCTCAGATGGCCGGCACCTTGTTTTTCCCTAATCCCAAGAGCATTTATCGCTGCACCATGTCATTTTACGTTTGGATACATTTGGCGTGGCCAAATTTTACAGCTCAGCACCAGAAAACTTCAGAACACAACTGAAACCACATTTTGAAGGTGGTATTCACCCCTATCTTCCATTGGAAACTGCAGCTTCCCCTTCCCCAATTCCATCGCCTGCGACTGAACAGCATCCAGACTCTGCTTGGTGCGCCGGAGCTGCTCCAGTTCGAAGGTGGAGATCTGAAAACCAACCGGTGCAACGGTGCGGCAAATGGTTCACCCGCACAATGAAAATACGGTGGATGGAAGCAATCCTGAACCAGTTGGTAAGTATTGGTAACTATCTATTCAGTGTCAATAAATGGAGTTATAACGGGAAGAACCATCTACCAACTGGTGCGGGATTTCTTCAATCCACAGTATCATGGATATTGTGGGAGCACAATGGGAATGTGATGTTTAACCAACAACCGACAATGTAACCCTCTTGTGATATTGTGGGAATACAACCAACAATACCGGGGTATGAAATATAATGGAATGTAATGGGGACGTCAATGGGGATATCATGGGATATGATGGAAAATATTTTTTCATATCCAGTAGCCATTCTAGGAACTAGTGAGTTGTCAAGAACTGGATTTCCAGTTGATGGATTATGAATGATTATGACTGATTATGATAATCCCCAGTAGAACGCAGCCACTACTCAGTGATGAAATCACCAACCGAGCGTCGATGGGTTAGATCAGTTAGATCCTTGGAGCCAAGGTTCAGCGGATGATCTACAAACGGATCAAGGGTATGACTTGACTCGTTCCCAGGGAACTAAAGACTTTAGGTACCGAATCCTGATTGTCCCCGTTTCTGTTAGCACAAGTTAGCTTTAATGTGTCTGATCTGTTGACTACTGTACAATGATGTACAATGAACACTTCTGGGCAGCACTCCTTTCCAAAAAAACGTGAGTGATCCAAATCCAAGGCTATCCATAGAATGCTGGAAGATGGCTTAGAACGGAAAGCTTCATCACAAATTGGACCACGTGCCTCATCCTGTCGCATCCCCACGTACTTACCTCGAAAGAAAGGCCGATGTGGACTCCCCGCAGACTCGAGAACGGACTCTGGGGTTCTGCGGAGCATGTGGAGGTTCAATGACTTTCATATCTTCCATCCTACATGTGGCCAACAGCCCAACAGCCACTGAAGCTTTTCATCATGGACACTCTTTCATGCCGTGCCGTCAGGGCACGAAGAAGCACATTGGCTTCACTGACACACGGCTGCAGCTGGTTGGTGACCTTGTCCAAATACAGTGCCAAAAGGGCCTGTTGGCCAGTTTGGTAACTTGGTTTGTAACTAGGCTAGCTAGGGTTGAAAAGGGAGATATCATCTTTGTATTCAACGCTGGGGGGAATCCCGCATTTCTTTAACTTTAACATGACACCTCCACCCCTTGCCACCCTGGAGAAGCTGAAAATCTCGCACACCACCTGCTGCTGACACATGTCAGATTGGTTGGATTCTAAGCACCCTTGTTGGGGTTATACCTCCTTAAAAAGATTTCCAAAAGAAAGTTTGCTATATTCACCAGTATATTTAATATTTACCCCTATGGGGGGATGACCGTCGGATGATCGCCTCTGTCACTGCCAAGGCAAAGGGCACCGACTCTCCTAAGTCACCACTAACCAGGGCACTAGTCCCGCGTCCCGAAAACGCTGTGTTTGTTAAGATATGGTTGTTAAATTGGCAAATCACCTAGGTTTTTGTCCATATTTCATGATTTTTTGGTGCTTCAAGCTGGTTATTCAGGAGAGCTTTTCAGGGGGGTCCAGCGGACACCTCTGATTGACCAATCTGCCGCCTTGACGTCACTGGAATACTTCATGTTGGATCCCTGGCAATTGTGGGCCTGAAGTTTTGACCTATCTTTCAGTGCAGTCCAATGTTCATACTATGACTGGTTGGTGGTTTCAACCCCTCTGAAAAACATTAGTCAATGGAAAGGATTGTCCCATATATTTTGGAAAATAAAAAATGGTTGAAACCACCAACCAGATGAATACTAGTCCCTTGAGAAAAACACCCAAAGCTGCAACTACGCCAAGTGATGTCAAGGGGCTGGCAAGGCCCTCTTTTGGTAGAGCCATGTCAACCAGCTCCAAATATTTCTGCTGAATCTGGCACGGCTTGGGGAGGAGGTCATTCGGACCCCATGCCATGGTTCAAAACCCAGCAGTTCAAAACTTAAATCATGGAATGACTAGTTTCAAACAATAGATCACCTGAAAATCCAAGAAGAAGCAGAAGTTTGACTGGTTTTTTTCCCAAGACTTCATGACATCTTCTTGCGAAAGGCCATGCCGGAGTCTCCCTTCGGCCGATGGTTTGAACGCTGGTACCCCTGGGGAGGATCAAGGCCTGCAGCATCCAATTTCTTGATGGTTTGAGGTGGGTTTTGCCACAAACGGGGTCTGGGTAAACGGTATATGATATACAGTGCATCGATGTACCTTAAATTTCTCAGCAAGTCCACCAGTGAATCATCATGTTCCCTATGGCCAATGGTCAATTTTGATCTATTTTGGGGGTATGCCGGGTGTGCTGTGCTACTGCGAGGGTCGATCGCCGAGGAACAGTAGCATTTGCCACCACCACAGCAGGACCATCCCGACCAAGGGACCTAGGAGCGCAGAAGGGGTGTGTCTGAAAACGGCATAGAATGGAGAAAATGAAAACCATAATTCATTGCGATTGGGGGTGCCCTGTTTTCAGACAAGAGCTAATGAAAAACATCTGCAGCAGCGCACTTCCGGACACGATGCATGTGGATACCCCCGCAATGACAATTTCTAAGATGCCAGCCTCATCACTTGAAAGAAGTGATAACAAAATAAAACAACCAAAATTCACAGATGACTTACCTGGCAACCTATGTTTTTGTAAGTAAACTGAAACCTCTAGTGAGTCAGATATAACATGATATAGCACCAGCTGAAAGGCAAATGATCCCACGCACCAAAGGTACGCTTGCGCTCTGCCGCTCTCATTGGCGCTCCCGCTGATCCTTCACCCCCAGCTCTCATGACCCGGTAATCAAACATGGCGTGCTGGAAATCCATCATCGAACGCTCGAAAATTTTCCCAGCGAACTAAACCTCCATCTACTTAATCACCATTGAAACACCATTTACCACCATTTTCCCATGAATTTCCCACCAAGCCAAGCTACAACACGGTGCCACCACGGCGCACGTTGAGGCTGAAGCCACGGCGGGTCTTGGAGACCAAGGCCTCTTCGAAATCTCAATAACTCTGCAGAAATCCCAAGAAGTTACTTTTGAAACCTACTTTTTCAAGATTAGAAATCCAAGTGCAGCATCAGCCAGTTTTTGGTGAAATCCCGATGTGTGCTGCTTCCAAGTTCTAGACTTCTTGTCACTGCTACGTTGCAATCTCCTTCCAACAGTTGACTTAAGCAGGTGACATCGGCCCACCAGTTTAACTTTTATCAAACAGAGGAAATCTCAGCAGCCAAAATAGGAAGATGATCAACAAAGTCTAGAGAATATATGGATAATGACTTGGGATGGGCGAAGACTTTGTGCAAATGTCGTTAAGTGCTGGGATTCAGGAGCGCTTTAACGGTGTACTGGTAGGTGAATGGGATGGGTTACGTGGATCAAGATTTGGATTTTTTAAGATTGGATAGTTTACAGAAACAAAGTGCAAAGAGATTTATCCATACTCACATTTCTTGGCGATTTTCTCACGATATCCCACGTATAATTATACTTGATCGGTGTGTTTTCTATCTCTAGGAATCCGCTATGTTCTTGCTGGTGACATCTCCAAGTTACTAGTGATGATTAATCATTAGCTAAATGTCCGACATGTTTGATGGTTAAATCAACGTTTTTTTTACCTTATGATGTTCCTCCTATATGGGGATGGGTCAAAACCCTGGTACCTAGTGAACCCCAAGTCATAGCTGGGATTTATGGATGTTCATCCCACTAAAAATGTATCTATAGGTATTGACCCATAGCCATCTTAGGTCCTATGGATCCCATCTATGGCTGCTGAAATCCCCAAAACCTTGGGCCCCCCAGCAGCGATGTCACGCGGCTTGAGACCGAAGTCCACCACCAAGTTATGCCGTTCCATGCTCGACTGAGACGCGAGGCAAAGGCTGGAGGGCACATCACCAAATCTGTGTACTGTGTATGGTATATGGTATGGTATATGGTATATGGTATGTATAGTGAATTAAAGATGTATAGTATATATATGTATGTGTATATATATATATATGTATATGTATATATATATATAGTTATAATTATGCACAAATGGATGGATAAAACCATGGCTAGCGATCATCCGATGTATTTGGGCACGGGTCAAAAGTGATGTACCCAAAAATGCGATGATTTACGACAAGAATGGGCCAAGATCTGTGATTATCTGGGTCTTAATTTCCGACCAATACCTAGTCATGTCGGTACATTTATGTATTATGTACAGATGGATATAGCTACAACTCGCAAAAATAGTGCTGTGAACCAACAGACATGTGGATCCTAACGAACAAAAAGAAGCCCTAACCAATGAACATATTATAAGTATATGAAAATGAGAATATGAGCATTCTTTGAAATCCATCAGGGCGGGTTCAGTCTCAGCTGGGCACCTCCAGATCAATTTCACCGGAGGGAAAGAGCAGTGCGCCAGCATAGCGGCTGGGACGATAGATGCTTGGAGGTACTGCTCCCTGGCGACGAAAAAAACCCGGTACCCAGCATAGCATCTTGGATCAGAGCACCCGGACCCAGCCCAGCCTTTAAGCGTGACGCTGTGGGAACCGCCTCAGACGTTGAAACTTGGGCCCAGCTGAAAACATCTGGAGATGTGGAAAATCGATTGAACATCCACAATTCTGGGACAGTTACCAACCCCTGACTTTGGTGGTTTCAAACCTGTTCTTTCACGTTGGTCCCCTGGCTGTTTCAGGAAGACTCTCCCGGGAATGCATGAGTTCTTTTCATGTCGCTCCAAATCGAACCAACACTTGTTGTTCAGCTTTAAGCTTTGGCCGAAATCTGTAACAAGGGATACATAATGAATAAACAAACAAACAAACAAACAAACACTAAATAAACACAAAAATACAGAAATAAACCATTAAGTACTGAATTATTTTATCAATTAAATTACATAATATACATACATATTATGTATTATATATATACATATATTATGTATATATATATTGATAGATATTAATAGCTATGTTGTACATGGCGTAAATATTTCTCAACGGGAATCTCCCCATCGCCTGCATCGCCACCAGGCCCGACGACCATGGTGACCAGGCAGCAACCATCGCGTTGGCCGCGCGCGCTTGTTGCACGGGGAGATCAAGGCATCACGTGACAATTGTGCGGTTACCCCTCTGGTACTATATTAATCGATTGTGTATTGTGATAATGGTAAAGCATGGTAAAGCAATAATGATTACAGTAGTTGATAGTCAATTACGTTAGTAAAGCAATTTCATAAACTAGCCATATGGATTGATGATTGAGAAACCAGCCAGAATAATTGTAAATTTGGGGATGGTAAACACTATTGCTTTACTAACATGAATTAATGTGTATTTCTGGCAATCAAATGTGGCTGGAAAATCCCCAAACTACATGGAGGTTTTTTTTTGCTAGGAAAATTCTATCTCTGTACCTGGGGTATGTTCCAATGCCAAGGGACGTTTGATTACCGGATGGTGTATATATATATGTAATATTATATAATCTCATATGGATGTGGGTCAAAACCCTGTACCCCCAGTGAACCTCAAGGTTGATGGTCATCCCTTATACCACATGATTAGTAGGTTTTGACCCATACCCATATAATGCATAAATGTATAGATGTGGATAAATTATTATAATTCTCCAACCTTAAGTAAGTGAAATAAGGCCAGTGAAATAAGGCCGGATGATTCCCCTTAATTACTAACCATTCCTAGAGTGATGTCGCACACACATTGGTGGTTTCACGCCGTAGGGATGGTATGCAACATCTTCCACGCCACAGAAGAAAGAAAGGACCAAAGGATACGTTTCTGCAGCAGGGTTGTTTGAAAACAGTTTTACATCAATTTATATAAGAATTAGTAGGAAAGCGTGAGCTACGTTGTCCATCTTGTCGGCACTGGGAACCAGGTTTTTGTCCTGTGATTTCTGTTTGAGAAACATGTGACGAGTCAAGGAGACTGCACCCAACAAATGCTGACTGGATGTCTTGTCCAGGAAAACTGGGTCAAAGTTTCACTTCAGGGCGTTCCAATCCATGTCTTGATTCCTAGGTTTTTTTTCTGCTCAGAAGAGCTAAGGTTGCGTTGCAGAGGCCGCGGTTTCATAAATCCACCAAGATCAACACCATGCTCATGCAACGATGGGCATTGGGAGGAGGTTCTACAACCACAGAATCCAGCATCACTGTGGATTTTGGAGGAGGACCCTCAGTTTGATCTAAGTTTGGACTTTGTTCTGGTACAACTTGCATGAAACTCTGAAACATGAAAATAACTAGCCGAATTCCAACAATCATTGCTCAGAGGAGACTGGTCCTTATGGAGAGTGCAAAAGCGTTATCATCTTGACCAGCCTTGGCATCATGTGGGTATTTGGTACCCTGATGAAATCACACCAAAGTCCATTTTTTATAGCTGGATGTTCATGTCATCCACCATGGGGTGAGAGTCTTCACCCACCATCTGAAGTTGTCTCAAAATTTTGGGAAAATCCATAAATCCCATGCAGAAAATCATCGTTCCCCCTTCAACTTGCCACCTCTGTCAGAGATTCCTTGTTGCCGAGTTGGTCGGCAAAGGTGAGTTTATGACTTGAGGTCTGCACGCGGCTTCGGAAGTGGGGCTAGCCGAAACCCAAATCATGGGAAAGCCCCAGTTTTTCTGTGGAAACTGATGAAACTTATGGGAAAGCCCCAATGTCTGAACAATTCTGAGAGGAAAAACGAACTTCCATCTGTGGTCATTGGTGTCCCCATTATATTAAAAACAAAACAAAACAAAAATTGGGTATCCCGCCATTTTCAGACGCACCCGCTTGGGTAGTGGAAGTGATGATATTGCATCATGATTCTTACCAGAATTTGATAGGAATATATACAGTAATGTGTTGGCCACATGGTATTGCAAACCTAAATTCGAATCGCCGAGTCCCTCATCATCGCTATGTTTTTCGACATCAATTCACACCTGTGCTTCCGAAAAAAAGCCCACGTGCCGGAAATTCTTGCAGTACCTTGAAAAATTATCTAAATCCCATCAACCTGAAACTGTTCGCCAACGGGGGCCTGGCCCTTCTTGATGATGTTTCCTTTTCGATCTTTGCGACTTCCTGCTGTGCAGAAAAGATCGGAAAAGTCTGGAGAAGGAGTCGTGAGAGTCAGTCCGGTGTTGCTTGCGTTTCTTGCATAGCTTTGTCCAAAGTGAAGTACCCCAAAATAATTATCTCAGATCGCGTGGTTTATCATCATGTTGCATGAACAGGAGATCCTAGATGAAATATGATGAAATCATTCCTTGCCCGGCGCACCGTTGGGTGAGGTCCCAGAGATGGCGGATTTCACTGAGTGAGCACCAACTGACTTCTCCCCCTGAGGAACTGGCGGGATGGTGCTGAGCTAAATCGCTATATATCTTGGCAGTTCACTAGGCCACTAGGCTAACACTTTGGGTGGTGATTCATAGCTAGATGGGGATATGTTTAGCACCCTAGGGAGCATCACCTTGTGGCAATTTGAATGGGGAAAATGATGAGTAACTGATGGGTTTGGGGGTACCCTGTTTGTCCAAATACTCCCCTGGATGGTATTGGATCTGTTCGTAGTAGGGTGCCACATAGGGGAGTTATTCTGAGGCGATGGAATTATTTACCAATGCAAGGAACTTGTGGCCAAATAAAGTAGCGAAATGAGTGAAACTACTCCAAGTGATACACACAACTTTGCTCCCACTTGATTGGGAGAAGTTGGTCAGTTTGTGGAACTCGTGTCAAGGCTGGGCACCTGTATCGATGGTGTGTTAATAAGTTAAGGATGGTCTCTTTTGGTATCCCTATGATTTGTGCACCCAACTCTTCAGATAGTAAAATGATCTGAAAGAAGAAAAAGAGGCACGATGTCGGAATCTCCTGCTTCCGAATTGTGCTTGATAGGATGCGTGGAATTTACAAGGTTCAATAGTCAGGCTTCACTCAAGACCATACTAGGGAGTGCAGTTCCAGTTAAGAGATGTTTTGAGCAGATATCATCATATCTAACCATAGGTTTTGGGGGCCCATGTTCCAACTTATGCTGGTCAACATCCCATGGTTACACCCATTAACCCCAACTGCACCCCCAAGTATTCACAACCGAGACCGCCTCTGACTTTACTCCGACGGAAATAGCCTCAGATCCAAATGGCGCAACAGCCAGTGTCAAAGATGGGGCCTGGACGCGGAAGATCGTCCACTATGGAGAACCCTTCACAGAAGTTTCGCTGTTTCGAAATCCGTGAGAATCAAAGTTAAAAAGTTACCACGTTCAGGCCTTAAAGAACCGACATAAATTGGATCTCGGATTTGAGTTATGAATGTCCTCCTCCACACCAGCTTACGGTTCCCCACCGACCAGGATTCGTATGAATATTCAAACAATTGGGAGATACAGACCCAAAATGAGGCTTCATGATTAAAAAAAAACTTTTGAAAAAATGATATGTCCTGGGTTTTCCCAAGATCTTCACCTACCAAGCCCCCCGATCTTCGTGACCGTGGCTCGCGCTCCAAAGGACTTGTCCTTTGGTATGGAGGCAGCGGAGGCAGCAGAGAGAGGAGACATCGGTTCGGCGCCTCAGCATAGATTTTCCATAGTGTTTCCAAAAAAAGGTTTGATAAATATCGTTAGCTTTTTTATGGTTTCACATCATTTCCGACGTTGCACTGCGTCTGAGCGCTCCGGCTCTTTGCGGAACTCATGGCCTTCCTTAGCCAAGTGTCCATTGTGGCCATCCCAATGTTACACCCATGGCTAGTTGAGGCTATCAAAAAAGACCGCCTGCGTGGCACGGATCTTGGGAACCCCAACTCTTTGAGAGGGCCTCAGTTGAGCCATGCTTCGATGAATTCGATGAATGCGTTCCCTGTTGACAATCTCACATCCGCAAGTTGATGAGTTGTAATAAAAAAGGAATATGAAAACTGAAAACAACAATCCCCTTGCTCACCAAATTTTCTAGCATGATATCATCTTGAGGTCAAGACTTTGCAGCTGGAAATGATGAACAATTTGCTGCAATACACAGGCTGATGAATCTCACCAAGTCAAGCAAAATCAGGAGATCAGTCATTTGGGGACTATTTTTATTTTTGGCTCCAAAAATGCAGTGATCATCTTTTCATCGAAACCTGGAAGATACCACCTGTCCATGTGGTCCCACACCAGTCCCGGAGCAAGATGGCCCCGACAGCGCGGATACGGCAGCACCCACGCGGTCGCGTGGTGTTGCCGGGTTGTGGTCGCAATGGTCTTGTTGAGTTTGACCTGCTGAGTGGTTTGAAGTTTTGGCTAGATTGAGCTAGCATCAGTTGTGGGGAGTGTGTTTCACGCAACGCCTGGACCTCAAAAAAACTCTATGTGCGTATGATAGCTGCAAGAACCAAACCACAAATCCATGTCTATGCCAATGTGAGGAGCCAGTCTGAGTCTGATCACCCCTGCAGTTTTGAGCCCAACCATGGCGGTCAGCTGGATGTTCCACTTGAGAGTAGGATATACGCTAGACTCTAGACCATACTTATATAATATTAATATCGCAGCACCCTTTCTCTGGCATGGAAGACATCCAGAAACTCCCTTTCTGTGGGGCCTTTCGGCCTACTTTCGACTCCCCTCTATTGCACATCGCACTCGCAGTCTGATCAGCGATTAGTCTGTTCTTTCAACAGCGGCCAGAGATCGGTGAATGTCCTGCCCAATCTAGCAGAAAGGACAGCTGGAGCATCGAGCTTCAAATAGCTTCACATTGCTCTCATTTCAGGATACTTGATTCCATATTGAAGCAGCACGCCCTCACACTTGCTGCAAGTTCACACTAGATCCGGTGATCAACGGACCCATAGATATCCATAGCCGAAGCTGTAGTCCCGAGCAAGGGCAGCACCGCACTGGCCCATGTCATCAGCTGATGCGGTTGGCGCAAAAGATCCAAGATGATCTAAGAACAACCCTCCTCCCGATCCTGTCAAGGTTTGGCTAATGACCTCCGGTGAAAGACGTCCTTTGCCGGGCAGCGATCATCGAAGCAGGTATCAGTGGGGAGCTTGTGCCACGTCACGTGGTCGCCAACAACCTGGGCATAAAATGTTCCAAGCCATGACACGGCCCGGCGCATTTGTTGGGGGCCAGAGATCCTGTTTTGGGGTGTTTGTTTGGTTTTTTTTCAGCTGAGCATAGGCAAAATATATCACAAAATAGCTGCTGTGATATGGTCTGCTGCCAGCCTTACCAAGCCCTTGCCTTTTCAAGCACCAGCAACCAAGTCCATACCAAGTCCCAGGGACGACGTTTGCAAGAAAGCGATGCGCCATTCGCACGGGAGCGATGGGTAGGAAGAAGCTCGAGACCAAGGACCTTGGATCATGATCTGGGAAGCAAGTAACACCCAGGATCAAAGACAAGTCGAGAACAACAACCTAGGCGACACAGTACGTTTCCATGTGTTGTGTAAGTACTACCCTCTGGTAAACTAACATAGCCATGGAAAATCACCATTTTTAATGGGTAAATCCACTATAAATGGCCATTTCCAATAGCTACGTTAAATTACCAGAGGGTACTGTATTCTGTATTGTAGATTATGTGTAAGATGTGCAAGATTTGCTAGCACTGCTAGACGCAATCTTTTGGCGGTTTCAAGACCGCAATCCAGCCATTCGGCACATCTAGGGTGAAGTTGCCTTAGCCAAGCCACAGCTGTCTGGTGATCCGTGGTGACAGATGTTTGGTGGGGTTTGACTGCTTAACCCTAGTGATACAACCAGACTTACAGGGGCCCCATATCCCAACTTATGGCTATTCATAACCCCAGCTGCACCCCCAGGTGGACAGTTGCAGTCAAGTTTCACCCAGTGTCCTGCACCAGGTGGAAGGCACTGTTTTCGGAAAGAGCTGCCGTATTGCAACGATAAGCCCAGGTAAAATAGATGCAGATATAAATACAGTATCTGAGAATATGTGTACAGTATACAGTATACAGTATAATCAAGCAGCACCAGGGGGAACGAGGCATTGCTCCACGGTTCTTCCACGCTTCGAACTCTTCGAAGTTCTACGTTCGAGATGATCGGGTTTTCGGAAAGTCGAAGTCATCAAATACCAAGTCATTGATGGTATCCATTTCCTTACTGGTGCGAAACGTAGGGAATTTTCGGGAATGATCCACTGGCTAACTATCAATAATCATCCCATTCCCCAAGTCCCATCCATTCCCTACTAAGCACCAGTAAGTTTCAGAACATCATTGACGGGTCGTCTCCGGTCCCTTCAGCTTCACCTCCCATGGCATCGCCTCGTGGCCCAGGGCGGTCTCGCCAGCGTCAACCAGCGCTCCTCTACCGACGCCTGGACCATGTGTGCCATGGTCAACCGAGAATGGGATGAATGGGTTGTGGGAATTCCACCATTATCACGGATTCTTTATGATAGGTACATTAAGTACTGGAGATGCATTTATGTATGTGTGTGTGTATGTATATAATATATATATACACACATAATCACCTCTATCAATTGAAGGAATACCTTTTGTGGCCATGTTTTGACTACAGCGCGCATGACTGAAAGGGTGGATCAAGGCTGAAAGATGCTGAATGTCAAGCCATTGAGACAGACCAATTCCTTCTGGCTGATGACGGAAAGGGAGCTACAATCAGGATTTTTCAAAGGATGATTCAAACGAAAACGAGCTGGGAAGCCATTCTGGCCCCTGATGGCTGTATAGCATGCAACAGCTCTCACCTCAGCCTCATCCTTGAAATGGTCCAGCAAGGCAACTGGGGTGCCTTTCCGCTGTAGCTGGCCTGGAAAGCCATTGGACCATCGACATGGAGGGACGACAGGATTCTCAACTGTGAACCTAAACCCGAACGGAGGGGATCCTGTAAAATGATCAGTTCAAGTGACACTCTTTGGGCTGTTCCAATAGAACTGTGCAGGTGGACTTGTCCAATGGAGGATCCAACCCCAAATGTTGGTGAAAATCCCCAGCAACCATCCCCGGCCACCATCGCAACGCGACCTTTGGACATGGCACCGGCTCCACATCGCTGGACATAGCGAGCTATGCCCAAGTTGTTTAAGCACATAGCCATACTGTTTTAGCCGCATGCTAATGAACAAACATTGTGTGCATATTTTTTTCCATATTGTATGTATATATATATATACTGGTTGGTGGTTTCAACCCCTCTGAAAAATATTAGTCAATGAAAAGGATTGTCCCATATATTTTGGAAAATAAAAAATGTTCCAAACCACCAACCAGTATATATATATGTATGGATGGATGTATGTATGCATGGATGTATGTATGCATGCATGCATGCATGCATGCGTGTATGTATGTATGTGTGTGTATATGTGTGTGTATATGTGTGTATATGTGTGTATATGCTTGTCAGGCTATACATAATCATAAATAATATTATATATATATATATGTATTTATCTATTTATATATATGTATATATATATATGGATCTATAACTATATATATATATTGTAAAACCCTCATAGAACTTGTTTTCCCTCTAAAAGGTCTCCTTGGGAGGGAGATGAGTCCTCCGTTGCACACCAAGCCGTCAGGCTGCGGGACAAGTCACTTGGATCTTTCCCATGTTCAAGACGAACTAGTGTTAGCTCATAAGCTGGTGCAAATGTCAATACCAAGTAGTCGTCATGAACACCGTCTATGTTCCCCCGGTTCAGCATGAGAGTCACTTGTACTTCCACTTCTACTTGCCAGTCGATCAAGAGTTGGCACAACCAAGTCCAATCAAATTGATGTCCAAACCCCACATCCCAAGCCGCTGGACACACGGCTTTGTGCACAATCTTTCCAACGGCTGTGCGTGGTACGGCTTTCCCGGTGCCCAACCGCCCCTGTCCTGCACAGATACCTGAGAATGGTCATGGCGGTCATGCTCTTGGAGGGAGACTGAAACATACTGAAACTAGACATAAAATGACAGTCTCAAGTTGTGTGGTTGCGAGCAAACTTGTTGGTTGGGCGATGACTTTCGTGACAGGTCAACATGGGATCCATCTTTGGGGATCAGTTCCCCTCCTTTTGGGGGATGATTGCCCCTACATACAGCATATAATATACCTTATACAGCGTATGTATACCTTATATTACAATACACATATGATGTGTATAAAATATATATATAGTATATAATATATACATATGTATATATCTGTGTGTGCATGGGTTTCCTGCAAGTTCCAAAGACTCCGAGCGATCCCTCTAATTTCACACCGAACCACGGCAGTCGAGTCCGGAGGTGACTCGCCCATGGGTCCCGGGTCTCACGTGCGTAGCCTTACGGAAATGGGTGGTGAAAAGTGTTTCTCCGTAAAACATGTGAAAAAGATTGAAAAAGCCACATTCCTTCTGGAAGAACGGAAAGAACCCTTTGTGAGTTGTAGTTTTGGCTTGACAGACATTTTAAACATGTTAACATCCAGTTCATCAATGCTTTCAGCCTCATGGCCTTTCAAACAAGAGTCAATTTGGGGTCACCAAAACCCCATAGCCGGACCTTTCACTCAGGAATCATGTCTGGGGATGTGTCAAAACCCTGGGACCCTGGTGAACATCAAAATAGCCGGAATTTATGGATGTACCCCAAACATTATAAAATTTAAATATTATATATATATATATTGTGTATGTATATATAATATATATACAATACAATAGGTTTTGATACATCCTCATATATTGGGACCAAGAGAATCAATCTGCCAAAACTCAGCCATGGTCTCCAAAATCCTGGGCTACCTGAGGCGCCCGGCAGGCAAAACTGCTGTGCCGAAAAGCTGCCCCTCGCACTTACAGGTCCTGGAGGGTGATTCAGTGTGCCTTTTGGAGTCTTGAGGGATAAACCCCAGGAATCCCTTCTAGCCTTGGGCCTCGATCTGAGTGAAAGGCAACAAGAAGGGTTTGAGGCCATCAAGAGTCCTTGAGAGGTGCTGTACACTGTTACTCAATTCTTTTTTGGGATGGGACCTGAAGACACTTAAGGAAATGCACGGCAGGATTTGAGATGGAAAAACACCTACCAAACAACAAACAGAACAACGGTGCAGCTGGCCCATCCAATCCATGGACCCCTTTTTGGGTCTCTTGTTCGCCTATAGATACAGAGATTCCAATACAGACCTGGTTGGTGGTATACCTACCCCTCTGAAAAATATGAAAGTCAGTTGGGATTATTTTTCCTCATCTGTGGAAAAATGAAAGTCATGTTCCAAACCACCAACCAGAGACATATACATAATGGGTATCGACATAGATATCTGGAGGTCAACCTCTTCAAACCCTCCTCGTCGTCATCGTTGATGGCCACATTCTGCGCCTCTTGCAGCTCCTGGAGTTAAAAAAGGCAGTGGGAGCCATGGGACAATCATATCGAACCGACGGATTTTCATTGCCATGTTGGATGAAACTGGATGTTACCCTCTGGTAATTTAACATAGCTATGGAAAATCACCATTTTAAATGGGAAAATCCACTATTTCTATGGTCATGTTCAATAGCTATGTTAAATTACCAGAGGGTAATATATGTCAATATCCACCATTTTTTGGAAATCACTTGGAGGGGGGAACTTCCAGATTTCAGTTGGAGCGATCCAAAAGTGTCCCGGACCCATACCAGGTACAAGAGTCCAGAGTGACGTCATCCAGTCTGTAGGTACGCCTAAAAGAACATGTGTCATCTCCATTCATTTCCTATTAATCTCCTGAATAATCCCCAAACACTGCCAGCAGAGAGGTCTTAGCTAGCTTGGTATTTCTACACCAATGTCCAGATTATATGATTTGATATGATACACCAAGTGTTTCTGTTGTTCTACTGTTGCAGTTTCATTGATCAAGAGCCGAGATCTCTCAACACCCCACACGCAGTCCTTCTCGTGCTGCGCAATCAACGACTGATCGATCTGAATCTCAGGAGCCTGCCGGAAAGGCTGCTTTATCATTGTCTCCATCAAGCTTTGGGGCTGCGTTTGAGATTGAATGAGCTTCAATCACTTCATATGGCAGTGTGTCAAAACCAATAGTACCCCTTCTGTTCACATCAAAATAGCTGGGATTTATGGATGTTCATCCCCCCAATAGCTGGTTATTAATAGGTATTGATCCATACCCATATGTGTGTGTGTTCCTTTTTCGAAACTGGTCTTTCACGTCCCAAGCCAGAGATTTCGGTCTCGCAGGATGTGACAACTCACCCTGATGGGATCACTGGAATGCAACGAGATGACTGGGGCGACATGGACCCCAGCAGAGCACCACTAATATGGCTGCGGATCATCCCAATTGTGGGATGCACATTACATTTAAAAAAAATATACCCTCTGGTAAATTAACATAGACCCTGAAAATCACCAATTTTTAGAGGAAACTAATCTTCCAACCCCTATCTACCAGGGTCTATGTTAATTTACTGGAGGGTAATAAGCGGACGATGACCTTGCCAGCAGTTTCATTTGCCACAGTGCCACAAGATGTCTTACTGGTTCTTGATACCCTAAAACATCCTAGAACGTCCTAAAACCATACCCCCGTACCACAAAGGACCTTGGCGAACTGACCCACAAACTGCAAGTTGCCCTGGTTTGTCAAACGTCGTGCCAGCCTTCGCAGATGGTCAAACTGTTGCTTCCATTGGCTTATCCACTGCCCCTTTCAGCAGACAAATTCGGGAACTTCAGTACAGAATATTGGGGTTCACTCCAGTTGCAGAACCAACTTGATTGCGCCAACTGGCACCTTTTAGAACAAACAGCAAATGGAAACCGTCAATTTCTTATGGTGAAAACAAATCTTGCATCATCTAGAGAGGAGTTGATTTATGTTGATTTTGCAAGTTCCCTCGCCATCCCAGGTATGCTGATTTTGCTGCAAAAGGTAGCTTTGCTGTCTGAGGCGCCACAGGAACGGCTTCTCGAAATTGTAGTTGCTCCTGACAGATCCCACGATCCCCTCAGGGCCTCAAATATTCCAACTGCTGATCCAACTACTGAACTCTCCACAGAGCAGAAACCCTGAAATGGACCCAGCCGATCTTGGGCCACTCAGTGGTTTGTAAAACATCCAGGATTTACGGTTTGATCCTGATTCCAGGTGTGTCCTGGCACTGAGGTCGTAGTACTGCAGATTCCTCTTCCTGTGAAACTGAATGTTCTTGGCCTGGCTGAAGCGGCTACACGCAGATCAGGAAGTCTCAGGATCTTTTTTGGGGATTTTTTTCGTGTGCAAATCGGTGGACTGCATATATTCTCAAGTATTCTCAAGTCGTCAATATGCCATAGTGCCATAGTTCCATAGTTTGCTAGATGAATGACCTGGGCCAGGGATTCCTTGGCTCCCATCCTAGCTTCCCAATATCGCGACCCCCAGTTGACTTACTGTCACCCACTCAACCATTGAATCCCCTTGGAATAGTGTATGTATACACTATATATATATACATATACACAGTCACAGTGTATTGCACATATGTATGTGTATATAATATATATTAATATATATATATATATAATAACCCAAAAAAAGCTCAACAAAATCAAAAGAGAAAGAAGTTCATCGCTGATTCTATCTTTTCTATATATCTACTCTATATATATATTATTATATACATGTACATATATATATATATGATTATATACGTGTACATATATATATATACACATACATACACTATATTGTATATTATATTATATAAATTACATCTAAAAGACCCAAAGGATTAGACCCTGCCTTAACCTGGCGGTCCTTGACGTCCACCTGGCACAAAAAAACACGTACAACGCGTATTGGAACGGCGCAAGGGTGACGGCGGTTTTTTGCACCGCCGTGTAGATGTGCGTACTGCACATATGATGCGTGTGCATGTATGTGAAAAGACAGAAGATATATTTTATAGATATATATATATATCTATAATATATATATATATGTGTGTATATATACAATTATACACATATATATACATAGGAAATACATATATACACATACACATACACATACACATACACATAACCCCCCCACAAGTGTCAGTATCAACCCCCGCATACCGACAATAATTTCAGCAGCAAACTGATCGTGACAGATCTGTCGCGACAGTCCCGCGGCGCGTCCCACCTTGTTGCCCACTAGCACAATGGGGATGTTCTCGCACACGCGCACGATGTCTCTGTGCCAGTTGGGCACGTTCTGCCACACGAGCAACCACCAACGATGGATGATATCGATATATTGACTATGTTTTATATATATATATACAGTACATGTATTAATGTTACCCATACGCCTACTGGTTAAATCTCACCAGTGGCCGAACATGAAAGTGACAAAGCTTCATCTTTCAAGGTAAGAGGTGAATGGACCCTCCATACTGGGAAAGATTTAGCCTGATAGATGAGTACAAATGCAAGATTTGACATGCAGGGATACAACTCACCCGCTCCCTCTGTGGTGTCCTTTTCAGCTTTGCAAACGGCGTTGTCGGATCCGCTGCAGCAAAGCTTAAACTTTAGCAAGAGCAGGAAAATATAGGAAAATAGCAAGACTTCCATGCCTGGCATGGCAAAGCAATCTGCTTGCCATCTCCAAACCATCCAAGTCGACTTCCCAGTTCCCTGCCCCTGCAATTGGAATCCACAGACCCCTGGTGGGCCCCTCATCCACTGTGGGACAGGATTGAACGGGGCCGCCCCCGGCTCCAAGGAAGTCTTATTGGCCAAGGCCCAACAGTTCGATATTTGGATCTTTCTGATGGGGTACTCCTGGGTACTCCATATGTGACTATGGCATCTGTGGCATCTGTGGCATCTGTGGCATCTGTCCTTCCCCCGTGCTGTCTTCATGTTTGTTGCACCCTGGCCCGTGCGATGGATCTAGGATTTACCGGCTGAGACCGGAGGTGAAACCGCTGGTAAAATCGTTCCTCAGACCGTTGAAGAAGTTGTTCGCCTGCGGATCAACGGCTTGGAGGAATCATGAGAAGAAAACAGGAGCCAAGATCCAAGATCCAAGAGAAGTCCTAAACTCATCTGTGTCCTTGCTTTTAACGTCATCTCATTTTCCCATGGGATATCTTGGCTATTTAGGTCCCAAGTCTTGGACACAGCCAGTCCCGGCACCTTGGTTTCGGCATTCAACAGCTCAGTGTTCGCTTTCACCTCAGATGTTGAGTCATCAGAGTCGACGGTTCAATTGGCGAAATCCAAGGAACTCCCATGTTCGTAAAGGCGGTGTTGGCCTCGGTCGAAATGTCAGATATGTCAGAAGGCCACAAACAACATGAAAACATCTCTGATACTAAGATGCTACAAAACATAAATATGACAATCCCGGTCTCTTGAGTTTCTAAATGCATTGGACTTTCGTCAAAAAGATGTTTGTCCACAGTATGCAGCTACCAACTTGTTGCCTTTTTGTTGGCAACTATACATGTTGAGCTCCCATGGTCAGCTCACAAACCAGTTTCCAAATTTCAAGTCGTAAATCGCGGTAACTCCAATACCGAACCTCCCAGTGGGGGATGATTCATACCATTCCTACCAGGCCTTGACGCCCATGTCCGTCAATTTGGTGCCCATCTTGGCGGCTTCCAAACCCATCTTGGCCTGCGACAGGCCCCCCAGGTTCCCCATGGTGCCATGGGACCAACTCCCAGGTCCCAGCGCCTGCGTGGAGATGGCTCCGTTTCGGATGGCATTCTCAGCCTGGGAATGCTGACCGCGGCTGTTCCCATGACCCAACCGGTGCACCGAGTGTGGACAACGGGGTTGCGGCAAAGGGGTGTAAAGACCGTGGCCTGAAGCTTCGTAGTGTCTGGATGCAAGCTGAAAGATTCAAAGGAGATCGTATCGTATATGTATGATATATATATATATACATGTGTGTGTGTGTGTTTGTGTAAATTCATAGAAACCAGGGCTCATAGCGAGGTCATCCCACGTTTGCAACTCTAACCAATGCAGACGGCAGGGTTGAAAAATGATCGCAGCTGTTTTCAGGTATCCTTTTGATATCTGCACTTCTTGTTGATTAGATCCGAATGCTTGCTTTGTGTAACTTACATTTCCATGCTTGTGCCTGAACTCCCAAGTCTTGTTCGTTGACCTGCCCATGTTTTTTGTTCAATCCATTGTTGATGGTTGCTTGATTCCACAATATTTCATCATCGGGTCAGCTCGAATCATCTCAAATCCCCATTTTTCACACATGGAACTCCCCATGCACAACATCAAATCCATCCACCTCCCACATGTTCATCATTTTGTCCGTCAAGCTCCAGATCCGCATCCCCTCCGCCCTGCGCCTCTAAGGCTTTGGTGTTCAGCGCCACCGCCGCATTGCTGGCTTCCAGCGGTAGCAGGGCCACCTTGGCAGAGGCCCAGCCAGCCAATTGGCCTCGCAGTCCAAATCCATAGGAAGGGATTGGAGGTTGGTTGGAGGTTGGAGGTTGGAGGTTGATTGGTTGCTTGGAAGGATTGGATTTTTTTGAAGCCATCCTAAGGAGCACAGTCGAAGCAAGATCTCAGCGGCTCGTCAAGAATAGGTCTGGCCCATCCCCATTTGGGCGACCGTGAGTCACTGGATTGGTTGGTTTAAATGAAAAAATCATCATTATTCTCATGGTCCCAGTGGCCAGCGAGGTCATTCAACGTCAGTTGACTGTTTTGCTTGGCAAAATCTATAAGAAGCACATTGGTTTAGCCGTTGGAAGGGCTGATTCGGCGGGTCAATCCGATTGGTGGCTCTTTGTACCGTGGAAAACGGACCCTTTTAAGCCTTTGACCAGCGATGGATGTTGATCTGGGGAAATCTGAAATTGCTGTGTGGCCATGGCGTTTGCCAAAAATCAACGACCTTTCATCCAAAGAGTTGGTTGTGCAAAACGCTGGAGACCCATACCTGCACTCTGCAGTCCGTTGCCATCACCAAAGTCCACCTCGGTTGCTGAAAAAAGGTCTAAAAACGGCTGAGTCCAAGACACCAGATGCGGATGACATCTGCATGTCTTTGCGATGCCAACCAATTGGTATGTACATGAATGGTTCGATTCACATGTCGATACGGAGACCATTTTTTTTGGCTAAGATTTGGACCAGAGATATCATGAAAGATCCATGTTGGTTTGCACATCAAATTGCCCCGATCATAAAAAGCCCCGATACTGTTTTGGTTAAGAGAGACATATGCAACATATGCATCAAAGTCTGCCGGTGATGTGGATGCCACTTGGATTTGAACCAAGAAACACTGCCAAAGTCCAGACTGGTCAACTGATCCTTGATCCCAGAGCCAATGGCACGCAGCAGATTCTCTCGCAAGTTCTCGGGTGCAGCCTTTAACACGGCCAGCAGCAACGTTCGCACCACCACCTGAGGACTGTGGATGCTTAAACGAACTTCTTCCTGTTGTACAGTTTGGGGCGTTGGGTCTTCCCCAAATGCCAGCGGCCCATCAATGCGGATAGCATTATCATCACCAGACTCCCCCCGTCCGAACTCATAGCCAAAAGACTTCGGCGAGTTGGTACAGGAAAACTCCGTTGCTCTTCTTTCCTGAAAGCTCAAAGATGCAAAAGATGAGAGAACCAATGGGAATCAGAGACCCATCCAATTCATGAAGCAGCTGAAGTCAGGTCATTTTTGGAGGAGATCTGTATGGGTACTAGTGTTTGAGTCATTGGGATTTTCAGATCACATGGAAGTTGCAAAGGACCGCATGGATTGATCATCCAGTTCCCTTGGACTTATTTTTCCATCATGATAATCATAAAACTTCTGCCAAGTCTGCTGATGTCGGTTGCATTATGCTCCGTATGCAACTTCTACACAAACGTAGGAAAATGGCAGGTCACAAACGATCTGAGGCTGACGAGTAAGGTCAAACCCTTGCCAATTTTAGCCACTCTTCCGACTGTACTCCAACCTTCTAATCTTGAAATCTCGAGGTCCAAGGTACCTCAAAAAATATTCAAACCACCGACCTTTCTCAAGAAAAAAACGAAACTCCAACGGGTTTGTTTAGCTTCTAGATGATGGATCACCAATTTTGGCCCAGCATCCTACATCTGTAATCTTTACCTCCGGGACCTCATAGGTCGCAGGGCCAAATTTCTGACAGCTGGGCTGGCTGCAGTAGCCAATGGCCACATCTTTCAGCTGGATCAGGTCCTAAGGCGGTTTCTGGTCATGAAACTCACCAGTGGATCAAGGGTGTCCTGTGTTTCTCTTTCCCAATTCATTTGTTGTTCAAGGTCCGCTGAAGCCAATGGAGCACCAGAACAACAGCACTTTTTTTCACCCAATTGGAGTAGGAAATGCTCTACACCTACCCTTAACTCACAAGTGTTAATGTTGATTGGCCCAAGCAAGTGGCAACAATCCTGCATCAACGTATGTTTGTGAATTACCGTGATGGATTGCCTATCCATCCCACGTTGCTGGAATCTCATTTATAAACATATTTTGTTCTAATCTTCCAAGGCAGCTTCCCTAGCGGCATATGAGACAAAATAACTACAGTCCTGGTATTTGGGTCTGTCCGGAAATAGGGTGCCCACGAATCCATTCGTGAATTTGCGATTTTTGGGGTATACCTCATGTATATACTTTGTTGGTAAAATATCCCCAAAATCTCCTCTATAAAATTTGCTCATACATGATGTTCCCAATCTTGGCTGCTTTCCCCCTACATCCATGATTTTCCAAGCAGCCTCATTATGATTGTTAGTAATTTCACATTATACATGAACTATGGTGTATATCCCCATTACAATATTTTCCCCATTTGGGGTGGTAAAAATCCGCAAAACTTGGTTACATATACCCATGTTTGGTTTGTTTGACATGCCAAGAAAATCACATGTTTGTATTGTTTCCATCGATTTCAGGGTTCCTATGCATATACCCTCTGGTAATTACTCATGGCAATGGAAAATCTCTCATTTATAGTTGATCTTCCCATGAACACCTCCATGCATAAGGTATTTCCCAGCCAGCCACGTTTGATCACTGGAGTACAACCCCCATTCTATTTCTATGATATTCTCATCACATTCATCAAAAATATCCCAGCCACGGAACTGATGACACCGGATGTTGTTTTACAGGTCCTCCCCGTGTTTTCCCCACCATTTTCCATTGCCGACTTCATCGATGAAGGATCCATCACCAAGTCACTGCCTTGATCTTGGTGGTCAGAGCATGAACCGCCTCGGCAGCCCCGTCCTGGCGGCCAGAACCAATCACTTCAAGTGGTATGTCTGGTTATGCAATATATATATATACTGTATGTATATATATATATATATATATTGTGTATTATGTATATATTATGTACAGTATATATTATGTATATAGTATGTATATATAGTTAGTTATCCCCAAAAAGATTAATTAAACAGGTTAAATTGATATCTATCTTACTAGAAAGTGACTTGTCGATCCTTTTAGTGGATTGCTAGATTATACATACTATAAATTAGACACATAATTACATGTGTGTGTGCTTCTACATCACACAGATAACTATGTCTTGTATGTAGATAATTGGTGTGTAATGGAAAACCCATTTTTTCTATGGGAATAGTTCAATCCACTAGTAGGTTGGGTTGCCGAAGGAAACTCAGCTACACTTCATATCGGAAAGTGCCAATGGTCAAATGGTTGCTGCTGCCAGTGCCAGGAGTGGGCGACATTGAGGCTGAAAATGATGTTGTTTGCACTAGTCTCTTTTGCATTTGATTGAAACAGACTTCGGCCAGAAGTTTCGAGAAGAATTTGGCATATCACAACTCTTCATCACCTTGGGTAGGTGGCCCCGGTGGCGCATGGATTTCTGCAACAAAAAGTGCTTGCTGGACACCAAGCTCAGGATTCTAAGCCCGTTTCAGGGTCAGGAACATCATCAAAACTAAGGGGGACACGTCCATTGTGAGTTTAGAATACCTTGAGCAGACCATCATCTGTTTATTATCCATGAGTGCAACCCGACCAATATGGGCGTTTCCGGTGGTTCTCGTGTGGTCTCTCGGCAGGTTCTGGTGTGGGTTCTCTGAGGTGAGGATTGAAACTTGATGTTGTCGCTCTTTCCTACCCCTCCCCACCACCTTTGCTGTTGGGGATACCAAACAACCATGGTGGTTTAGGGTACCCCCTATTTCAGGGCATACCCTTCTTGGACCCCTCCTCTACTTGCTGAGAAGTTGGTGCCGACAATGCGGTGCTGATGGCCAAGCTATTCCTGGGGCGGAGGAGCCAAAACTCAGTCGGTTATGCCCGGTTTCATCCAAAATGTCTAGTACGTATGCAGCAAACCACATCCAAAACGTAGGGGGGCTTAACAAATGATGGGGGTAAGAAAGACTACCAAGAATACGTACAGTAAGTTGTTTGTCCACAGTTTCTGTAAAGATCAATGTGTATTAATATATATATTTATTTATTTATTTCCGTTTAACCCTTGCTTTGAACAACTCACGACACAAGTGAAAGGAGGCCACCTGAAATTGTTGGGTGGGTCTGAAAGTGGTGGGACGAACAAAATTGTGCGCACATGCGCTGCTCACTTGAGCATTGAAACTGATGTCAAATGAAAATGTGACATGTCCCAATGATGCCAACAACTCCAACTGTTGGTGTCACTGTTTCATGGAAACACACGTGTATATATATATATGTATAAATATATCAAGTGTGTCAAAAAGGTTGTTCAAAGACGTATATGTACATGCCTGTGAATGCATGAATATACTCAAGGGTTTGTTTGAAATAAAACTGCATCAACTTCGTTGAGTTTCGTCTTATTTCCGTTTAACCCTTGCTTTGAACAACTCACGACACAAGTGAAAGGAGGAACGGAAATGCACTTCAGTGAATCGACACTCGCGCACACTCTTTTGTCCGTTGGGGTCGAAGCTCTCAATCCGCACATCCATCGCGCTCCTCCCCAACATGGGATGGTGTGGTGCATTGATGCCACATGGCCATCAGGTCCACCTTTGTTCTGTCAACACCTAGGTGGCTCATGACGACTTCTCTGGAGAGAAGGTCAGCTGGATTGGATTGGCTGGGCACTCGCTCAATCCATGCAAGCAAATTTAGTTTCTCTTCAGAGGAACAAATGTGTTTGATGATAAGATCCATGCTGGGGTTAGTGGATTTACATTTTATCAAACACGCCTGCACCGCTTGGTTATCGGTAAAGACTATCAGGCGTTTGCCGAGTAAGAAATTAGAGAACAAGGCTATGCCGATGGCCACTGCTAACCCTTCCAGTTCAAAGATGATAGTCTTCTGGTCTTCGGCTTTGATCTTGTCCACCAATTTAGAAGGCACCGGCTCGCTGAAAAAGCCCAAGCAATTCCCAATTGATCCAAAAGCATACCTCCCACTCCAGAATGGTTGTCTGGGTCGTAAGAGGCATCAACGTACAAGTGGACCCACTCGAAGAAGTTGGTGTCTACGAGCCTGGGACTGTTTTGGCTGATCAGAGCCTTCAGCAGGAGTAGTGTCAAGCTGAACTCATCAGAGATGGAGACAAACCCCCTGCTGATGTGCTGGTTCAAGTCTTTCAGGCAATTGCGAAATCTTCTGCCAAACAGGTAGTTCGAGGCGAATTGCAAACGGCCCCGGAAGCGCTCCGCATCACACCTGCTGAGCTTTTTGGTTGCCTGAATGTGATCGATGAACTCCAACAGTTCGGCTCGTCTGGACGCCGTGTTGGACAAGGCAATAACTCCCTCGGGAGTCTTCGACAGGTTCAATTCGATTCCCAAAACCTTGCAGCAGGTTTCGTACGGCACCAACTTGTCTTCCGACAGCTTCCAACCAAGCAGCTGGAAGAATAGAGATGTGCACAACTCTGTGTGTCGGGAGGCTTTGACATCACAGATGCTCAGAAAGTCGTCAAAGTACGACGTCCAAGTGAACCAGAGCAGCACACTGCCTATGTGCCACAGTGCCAGGGCGCACCTCAAAAAGGCAGTCACAGAGGCTATGGACCCGAAGGGCAATACCTTCTGCTGATACACTTCAGGGGCATCCGTATGGGGGTTGTAGACCACCAGATACGAGTCCAAGTGAAAGGCCGAGTCTGATAGCGGGACTTGCTTGTACGCTGATGCTAGGTCCCAACACTTTGCCACCAGCTCTACTTGTGATGTCTGGGCTGATGAGCATCTCAGGTACTCGGCGCACATGGCTGCGATGTGGTCCACCCCGTGAATGGACACAGCTTCTGCCTGGGTAACCGCAGAATTGACCATGCTGGCACGATAATCATCGATTGGCCTGATTTTGTCTTTTTGGGCCACCCCAAATCTGCGGGTCAATGTGGCCCCTTGTGGGAGGCCATCAGGATCCACAGGCCCGACCAGGAAGCCCTTGTCACATTCATTCCGAGTGGCCTCGTACACAACGTGGTCCAGGCCAACATCACCTGAACTTCTTATGTTAGAGAGCAGGGCCGTCCTTGCTTTCTCCGCAACACCTCTGAGAGTGTCGGTCGGAAGCTGAGCAGGGCGAAATCTCTTCGAGAATGTGTTGGACTCTGGCAGGGTGCCAGTCAAGTCAAAACCATCGCACAAGTCGGTCACCAAACGGGTATCGGTTGACCCGGACTGTTCAAGAAGCCACTGGAAGAGCACCAACCTCTTCCCTTTCAGAACTTCCCTGCGTCTGGCTGACAGGGACAGCTTCAGCTCTTCTTCGGCGGGCTGAAACTCTTTGGCCTTTGCAAGCATCATCCTAAGTGCCTCAGATCTAGCTTGGCACAGAGATTCCACTGGTTCAGTGGCTGCCCTATGAACCGCAGCAAGCATCGGAGCCGGAAGCTGAGAAACTGTGGCACTAGGATGCTTCACCTCAAGTGCTTCTTTCACGAAGTCTGCTGGTGACCTGTGTACTCCAACGGTCTTAAAGCCTTCACTCGCGATCTCCCCCAAGGAAGGAGTGGATAAAAGCCTAGAAAGTGGGGGTAACGGCTGGTCTACCGGGATGTGGATGACTTTTTGGAATTCACTAACCATGGGTAGGGCCTTGGAGCTGCTTTGAGACCAGGTGTCATGTCTGATTTGTTCTAACTGTAAGGCTTGTTCAGCAAAACGTGGGGTTTTGCAAACGACACCAAGATTTTGCAAGTGCAAGGCAACCTGGGCGGCAATGGCCCTGCAGAGCGCCCATGGATACGCTGTTTCCAAAGAAGTAGCCCAGCCTGTGGGTGTTTGTCCCCACGGTTCATGAGGATGATTATCATCGCATCGGCATTCGAGCGTTTGCAAGCAGGCAATATTATGGATCAAAAGGGTGAATTTTCGCCTAGAGCTACCAAACTGGCAATGGTGGAACCGAGTTTGGAAATGGGGAATGTCAGCAAGGAATTTCTTGAAATGCTTGGTATCCCACATAAAGCTCCGAGCTGGGTTTTCAATTGAAAATAACACGCCTGCATGATGACATTCACGGCAGAGCTGCTGGGTAAGATCATACAGATGGTTGGCTGTATCGACCCTCAACTTGAGCTCTGGTGGCAGGTCGGGGAGACCGTCTGGAAAGGCATCAGTTCGAACAATTGGGGGGTTATAGCGCCCCTTTCTTTGGATGAACCTAGCTCTGGATGATGTGCCGCAGGGTGGTGCAAAATGCACGTAGATGCAGCGTGGATCACGAATTAAGGTTAAAACATACTGGAATGATGCTGGCACTGTCAAATCTAGAGAAATGACTGGTCCACTGACTTTCGGATGGATCTTATGGTCAATTCCAAAGGAATCACGAATGCCTAGCTGTCGCAAAACTGCTGTGAGGCGGGCTGTCCCGGCAAAAATTTCCACACAAAAGAGGCTATTGGCGTCTTTGCCAGCGAAACGGTTCTGCACAGGAGAATTACCGGCATCTGCTGGCGAGTGCGGATTCGATGGCTGTCACGAATGATCACGAAGACTATGTGGCTTGTGGCAGCCAGGTTCTGCGCAGAGGTGGAGCCCACGAGAGCACTGCCCACCAGCTGCAGCCTCGCGACAGCCCGTCGCCATATTGAAAGGCCAGCACAGCCGTTGTCCATCAGGACCTTCCATTGACTTGCCGATGAGCTCTTTGGGGACATTCGGCCCGCGGCCTCTTTTCTTGCTTTTGGTTTTTCCTTTGCCTTTGCCCTTTGCTGGCGGCTTGGATGGGACGGGAGGTGGCGCCCCCATATCCCCAGCCTTTCGCTTGTTCGGATTGGCTTTGGGAGTTGGCTTGGCTGGAGCACCGTGTGCTAAAGGCAGCAAATGGAAACTCACGGCTGGTTTGGACAGAACGGTAGGCAGCAGCTTCTCGAGCGGAAGTTCACCTGCCGCATCTCTTTTCAAAGATGTGATGTGCTCGGCCATGAGAAGGAAGGCTGCCCTGTCGGCACGCAGAATCTGGACCAGGGATGTGTTGCTATAGCCCGGTGGGGGCGTCTCTTGCAGGTGCTGGAGCAACTCACTCTGATAGCTGTTGAAAACCTCGTACTTGCAAATGCCCACCAAGTCAAAGGTGAGAGCCCTGCGTCTCATGGCTTGGAAAAGTTCCAATTCTGTCCTGGTTGAGCATGTGAGCTCGCTCTGCTTGTCCTTAATGGTGAGAGCATTCTGATCCAAAACGATCTCTTTGCCTGGTTTCTTCTGGAGAAGTTCCAAACGCCTGGTGATGAAACGCTCAGGAGCAAGGTAAATAAGGCTGTCACGTTCCATCATGGAGAACACCAGATCGTAATTGCTGTGGGCGCATTCCTCGTCACCTCGGAAACGAAGGCCATGGAGACGAGTCTGCTGGTCCCTCAGGCGCCGTTCTCGTTCGGCGGCAGGGAGATTGTTGTGAACATTGATCTCATCCTTCTTGGTGATCTCGTTTTTGATGTTTGCCACCACAAGAGTATGGGCCTCGAAAATGAGGAGCTTCAGCGAAGAAATCGTGGCCAAGTTCACTGCCACCTTTCCTGCGAAAAACTCTTTGATGGCGTCGTCACTGGGCGATGTGCCAGGAGGGCTGATGGCAAAGGCTAGTTGTGCCAGAGACCTGACATTGTTGTCTATGATTGCTTCAACTTCCTCCGCACTCAAACCGGCTTTGGTGCCTCGGTGCTTGAGTGCATCGGTGGAGTACACCAAGGACGCAGCCTCCCTTGGAGGGGCAGCCATTGTGAAGTGGGTGAGTGGCACTTAAAGATCTTGCTATTTGTCAGTGATGTGAAAACTTGCAAATGGGACAAACGATATGAAGTTGATGTGGGTTCCCAAGCTGGTTTATCGACATACTGTCTTGTTTCATATGTGTGTTTCTAACACTAACATGGGGTATATTGAATGCTTCGCCAAAACTGCGGTTGAAAATCACACATGTGATATGGCGACTTCACTCAGAATCGCACAAGAGGCAGAAATGAACTGACTCTCACACTTGTGAGATTGATTGTTCGGCCATCAGCGGTGACACATGTCGAAAACCGCTTTTCCATTCTTTTTCCGCAATGAAGGTCACAACTCACCAATGGCTCTTTGGCATCTTTTGCATTTCCTGGTTTCAAGGAAGGCTGTCTCTTGTACTGCCACATGCTCGCTGGAAGCATGGATGCCGCACTCAAATTGCCTCGTCTCGGCTACAGATTCCAAATGGACCACTTTGCTAGTAGTGTGCTGATACATTTTGCCATTGCCCCAAGATTGCTTGTGGCTAAGGTCTTTGCCAAGCTCACACACGCGTGAATCGTGATTGTCCTCTTCTGAGTCTGAGGAGCTTGTCGATGCGCTTGAGCTGCTGGAGGAATCGGACTTGTTGTCTGGCGAGCCCGACTCATTGTCATGCGGGCTTGGACCCCCTTCAGGGGGCTTGGGGGCCCGGCAATCCTCTTTGATGGCATCCTGGATCATCCCGGAACGGGTCCGGTCTGGCTGTAAAGCTCCGACCCGGATTTGTCTCAGAACCTCCTCCAATGTTCTGAGTGGGGCGGCCAGGCAATCTCTGGCGTATACCTCTAACGACCCACGTCTAGAGCTGTGGTGTCCCAACACCAAACGATGTTCACCATTTGCACCGGCCTTTGCCAGCCACGATAGGGCAGTGCACTTTAGACTGTGTGACGTGACTTTGTCCGTCACCTCTCCAGCTTTTGCCAAAATAGCATTCAGCCATTTGGTCGCTTCGCTGGATGTCACAGATCTCATGCCCCATTTCCCGGTCTTCATAGGTGCCGGCAACACTGGACCCTTGTAGGTTTCCGAGAAGTCAATCTCGGCTTCCTCAGCAACTGCTTTCCATGACAGCCCCCAAGGCGGTGACTCTAGCCCCCAAATGGGTGCCACCAGGGGCAAAGGAAGCCCATGTTTCGCAACTTGGGCAGCCGTCTTGTGGTTGAAGGTCGCAAAGCTGATGAAACCACATGGAGTAGAATTGTCGATGGCAATGTCTAGCTCGAAAGAGTCCACTGACTTCAGGTCTGACCAGCGGCATCTTCCGAAGATAGCAAAAAGGAAGACCCCAGCGGCATACCTGTCGAACAAGTTCATGGAGGTGTCGTTCAGGCACGTCTCCAGATGGCACACTTCCTTCACTGTCAGAGGTCTCGCCTGCTTGCGCCCAGGACGGCTCATAGCCGCCTTGTCCAGCAATCCGCGGGTGAAGGAATCAATGATAGGCTGTCCAAGAGCCCTGGTTGGCAAACCGAGAATGTGGATTCCAAAATTGACTGCTTCCGTGAAGGATCTCAAGGCACTATACGTTGCCCCGTCCTGGTGCGACTCCCAGATGTATTCAGCTATGTCGCTGGGGGTGCACGGCAGAGGACTTTTCTGATAGAAGAACTTTTGGTGCCATCTGCAATACTTCCAGAGATTGTTGGTCCTCTTTAGGACTGTGTTGCAACTGCGGGACCCACACAACTCTCGGATCTTCTTGAAATTCCCGGCCATGTCTGCTGGGTGCAAGTCAAGCCCCACTGGTTTCGCCTCTGGGCAGCATGTGAATATTGCGTACAATTTTTCCAAAACTCTTGCCCATTTGGCAGCATCCAGTTCGTGATCGCTGAGGCCGTGGCTGAATGAGATGGCCCTGTCGTAAAGTCCATGGATGTATTGACTGCATTTCTGTCTTTTCCCAGATGGTTGTTCTGCCAAACTTTCGTCCAAAACGCCATCCGACCTGTTCACAGGGATGGCTTGCGCCGGTATTGGAATCTCAGGAAGGGAGCACAGAGGTTCCTCACTGAAGATGGCCCTGAAAATGCCCTGCTCCCAAGGGAGTTCCAGACCAGCCCCAACCTGCGCACTCAGGATGCTCTGATTGACGATCTCGTCAAAGGTCTCCAGTTCTAATCGAGTGGGGGCAGGTCCAAGTGGGCCATCGTCAAATGAAGCAGCGTTGACATCATCGGCCAAAGGGCTGGCAACCGTTACATGGCTCCCGAAAACGTCAATTGATTCGACATCGGAAAAACCTCGCGGAGAATCCCGCTTGGCCATTGGTCCATGCTTGGTGCCAAACAGCTGGGAAATAAATGATGGTATGTCTGTCGGCTTGAAGCATGAGTGACAGCTGTGGTCCTTAAAACTATTAGCCATGTGTTGCTTCAGCTAACGGTTTTCTCCAATTCAGAAACACGTCTCCTCTAGGCCCCAAGGTTCAGGCTGCATGTTGGCGTGCAACTACGAGGAGCTGGTCCAGCAGAGTCAGCTTTCAAACTTCCAAACAACAAATGATTGTAGCCACAGTGATCTGGACGTCCCACAGGAAACAAAAAGTAGGATGAGTCTGCTGGTGTTCGAAACGGTCCATCATCAAATCGACCAGGTCGGCCATTGCCCTACAGTGGTTCCCAAAATTTGGTCCCGTTTGGCCCTTCAGAATGCCAGGGTCAGCGCAAAAACGCAAAGGGATGTCGGGACGAACCAAATCGGTGAGGAGATCTCTGGGCTCCCTGGTTCTATCGGACAAGTGGTATCGCTTAGCGCACTCCACTTCCAACAAGAAGTCCACCAGCCGAGAAATCGTTGTGGGCGTACCCATATGTACGATAACTTCCCTAATGAATGATTCGGATTTACTAATCAAGGAAAGATGGTCGACGTTTCTAGAGTCGATAATTTCGGCAAGGATGGAAGAAGGTGATGGCCCGTCCTCTATTGATGGGTGCTCTCGGCCTTCTGCATTTGGTTGCTCAGGCCGGGTGGCTGAGGAATTACCACGTTGCCCGTTCAGGCCGAGTCCCAAGAGCCTTGAGGGTCCGACATCAAATATTGAAGACCCCAAAACTCTCTACTACAAGCAATCGGTCGAGAAGGATTCGGAAACCAAATCGACATGAGGTCTTGACGGGTTGTCCATTCCTCTCCTGCGAGAAATCAAAAGGGAAACTATGCAAACAGAGGATAAGTCTGATTCTACCACGTGGTAGTAACACAGGAAAACGGCCACTGGGCGCCTGGTCCCGCGTAGCCCAGACAATGGACCCTGTCAGTGGCACTCCAAAAACGGTCAGGCCTGGGCACGTCGTTCTACCCATCATGGCCGTGGAGAAAGACAGCCACAGATAGCACTTACCATCGAAAAATAAATTGGGTGCCACACGGCAATCAAAGTTTCGCGTCTGCACCTGCAGACCGATCGATGTCTTGATTTCAACACTTTTGACCGCGTGTTGTTGAATTATTCTCATGGTCAGTTCAACTCACACACTAGAGCTTAGTTCAGCGCCACACGGCAGCAATGAAGAGTCACAACCTGACGAAAATATGTCAAACACCTGACACTCCGATCTGACACAGAAACCACAAAAGGTCGTCGCCAAAATTGAGTGCCACACGGCAAACAAGATGGCCTGAGAAAAGCGGTATACTCAATGCCAGAAAGCTCTGTCACATGACAAGAGAGAGCACATGTGAAGACACTCGTCATCAATGTGGATTCCAATGATCTGAGAGCTGGGCCACACGACCCAAGAAACTCCGACACCTGTCAAGGAGTGTGAAAAAGGCAAATTACCCGAATAGGGGAAACAAATAATAAGGCAACCATCAGAAATCTGAGGATAAGGCCCTGAGCTCACACGAGCGGCCGATACTGAACCGGCTTGGAAAACGCTGCACATGCAGTTCAATATGTGTGCAATGTAATGCCACATGTGTGATGTCGCCAATCTGAAGTGAAAAACAGCATGACTGCCACAACCCCAGAACCCTGGAATGCTGTGTTTTGTCGATGCTAGCAAGGCATTCGAGCATGACTTCGCATGCGTTGCCAAAATGTTGATGAAGGCCATGACATAGACACCAGCAATGGCATAGTTACGGAGCGTCACCAGGCTGCAGGATCAAATCGAAAGGGGCAGCTAACTGCGGCTCTCGAGCAGCCAGAAATTCCATAATGAGCCCAAGGTAATGTCGCATCTGTCTGATCTCCTCTCGGAGGTCTCCGAGCTCGCGTTCAAGGTTGTCCCGATCTTGGGACAAAACCCCAATTTGGTAGACCAACTCCGGAAGGGGGACGAAGGAGATGGTGATGAAGGTTTGCTTGTGAAAATCCTCGGCCGTCTGCTCGGGGATGGTATCGATCGCATCATCACCGATGTAGGTGAAGACCTGTTGGTAAAGGCTCCATTGGAAAAAGGCCAGGTGGTATCGCCGATCTTCACGTAAATCTTCATCAAATGGAATCCAGCGGCGCCCCATGTCTGCAATGCCAGGAGCTGGCTGCTGGACCGGAGTGGCCGTCAACAGGCAGAAGTCATTCAAACTGCAGTCTGTGTTCAACCCCAAAAAGGGGAGCACCTGGTTGAGAGTCGCCTGATCGTCTTGCGATGAGAACCAGCACGGAATTCTCTTTGAAGTCTCTGGGACGTCAGTGAAGAAGTCCACGTTAGGTGCGAGCATGGTGTCGATGTTTGCTCACGGAGACAGAACCAACTCAAGGTCAAAGAATTCAAGGTTCGCTCACGGAGATAGAAACCAACTCAAGGTCAAAGTGCGGAGATCAGCGACGAGGTGCCATGCGAGATCGGAACGAACAAAATTGTGCGCACATGCGCTGCTCACTTGAGCATTGAAACTGATGTCAAATGAAAATGTGACATGTCCCAATGATGCCAACAACTCCAACTGTTGGTGTCACTGTTTCATGGAAACACACGTGTATATATATGTATAAATATATCAAGTGTGTCAAAAAGGTTGTTCAAAGACGTATATGTACATGCCTGTGAATGCATGAATATACTCAAGGGTTTGTTTGAAATAAAACTGCATCAACTTCGTTGAGTTTCGTCATATATAGCCCATTGAACTTTCCACATGGGACGTCCAAGTCAGTCAGTGCAGTTCAATAGAGGACATCCGTACTACTGGAACCTTCTGGATGTTCATCCCCCCAACAATATGCCAAAATACCCCTGGCATGACCCATTCCTAAACCATGGAGTGTCAAAATCTCAAGTCAACCGCTTAGTCTAAACCCACAAAAATTCAGGATCAGCCACCAGTGGTGGAAACCCATCCCGGTCATCCCCCATCATCCCCCCATATACCCTAGATATACCAACAGTGGTTGATTACTACTCCTACTGTATCCCCTTTGCTGTTGTTGAAACGTCCCTTTCTGTTGCTTCCGGCCATATCATTCCATATTTAGCTTAATATCCAATCTCAAAGATGTATCCAGCAATTGTCGCTTCATATCCACCATGTTCACAATTGCTGGACACCACTTTGAGCCGATAGTACCAGCAACCGAGAATTGCCTCAGACGTCGTGGAATAGCTATTCCACTCGTTCCAAGCATCAAATGATCCACGATGACCTTTGCGTTGGACGGCGAATCTGCCACCAGCTCTTCCACGAAGACATGCAGCTTTTGCACCGTGATCTGAGCCGTTGGATCTTTCGAACAATGCCGAGAAATCGGAGGAAATTGGATTCATAAAAACAACAAGCGACATGAATTGAAATATTGAAAATGAGATGAAACTGGATCCCAAAAGCCCTGTAAAATATTGTAAATTGATGTAAATTGATGTAAAGCCCTGTAGTTGTCCCAGTTTTTTTCACGACGTCTCTGCCTCCTCCGGGCCTCCTCCACTTCGCTGGGAAAATTCACCGATCCCAGGAGCCGGGATCGCAGCAGTGACATGGGATCTATGTCGAAGACCTTCAGCGTAGAATCAACGTGCAAGTCGTTTTTTTCATCAGAAAACTGGGGAAAAGAAAGGGAAAACTGGCAGTGTGTCAAAACCTTGTACCCCTTCTGTTCACATCAAAATAGCTGGGATTTATGGATGTTCATCCCCCTAAAAATGGTATTAATAGGAATTGATCCATACCCAACTGGGGAAACATGGCCAACTTTTCCAACTGGCCAACTTTTTTTCGGGTTTTTGCTGGTGGCAGAAAGAGATGGACGCCATTCTCTGCACCCAGCCTCGAAAAACCCCATACTTGATGCGTGGGACTGCGGTGAAACTAGTTGATTCGATGCCACACCAATCCAACTTTGGAAACCTACCACCCATCGGTGACTTGATTTCAAATGAATATCCATAGTGTTTTGCCATCCATATTGTTTTGTTTAAACCAAGTTCTGTATTCATGTTTCCCTTCCAGAGTTTTTGATGATGAACACATGAATTTGGATCGATACATTTGACAGGATGGTACAGGCACGCTGGGATTCGCATTAAAATCTGCAGTGCTTGTGGTCGGAATGGTTTGCGATTACGGCAATCAGGACACTACAACGGTGCTACTGCAGTATGTTGTGTGTGTGTGTTGCCTCTGTCTCATGACCCCAATACCATACGTAGTTTGCTGCAAAGCTTCCAGGTGGTCTAGGTCCAGAAAATCATGCTGAAAGCCTGGAGCGGGATCCGATTGACCCTACCATGCTTCAGCTCGCCCAGCCATTGCGATTCATGGACTCCACGAATCGCAGTGCACCCAACTCCAAAGACACCAAAGACACCTTGATGTACGGACACTACGCAAGGACAAATCATGTCGCTTTAGTATCGAACCTCGCATTACATGTAGGACTCCCAAGCCGTGACGCCTGAGGGACTTCCAACTCTAAGATCCTCTACAGCCACTCGGCCACCGAAAATGTCAATGTCCACCTGGCCCAAGGCTTGCAGCAAGGTGGCAATGTCCCAAACACTTCAGTGGGTTTGTCCAAGGATGGGGGATACAACCAAAAATCGCAAATTTATGTAATTTGAATGTGGAAAATGATCATAAATTATAAAACCATGGAACTTGGTGGGTCCCGATTTTCAGACATCTCAACTTAGGTACAAGGCCACAAGTTCTGACAACCAAAGGGGCGGCTGCTGACACGAGCAAGGTCTCGTTCAGACGAGTGACTGAGTCCAAGCTCACTGGCCTTGGAACAAAGCTGTGACAGTGAAGAGTCAAGTGGGGCGCCAAAATGTAAGACTTTGGGACACACAAAATTTATCACGATTTGGTATTGTTTGACCAACTCATTTTCGGAAACTTGTTTTATCTTGCCCAAGTACCTCCATTCCCAACAGATGCTCGGTGTCAGGGTTACTGAACATTTCAAGAAATGGTGACTTTGGTGTGGGCCAAATTCCTCCGCCAGAAAGCCAAAAACCAGCTGTCGGAATGCTGGAGGAATATCCCCATGCTGCATTCATTCAGACCTCCAACGTCAAATGCTGAGAATCAAGAACTTCACACGCATCTGTGCATATATATATATATATCGGTCTCTGGGGTTATTGATCTCAAGCCATCTTCCCAAAAATCTCAAAATCTGTAAGTTCTTGGTGTGTCCCCATATTTCCTCAAACAAACTGCATCGGTCGTTTGCCCCGCTACGACAAGGCACACCCCCATGGTGGCTGAGAGAACACTAGCAGCCACTGAGGCGAGCCAGGTTTCAAAGCTGCTGATCTCGTAATGAAGACCTAGGAGCCCCGATGGGCCCCGTCCTAGCCATTTTTGGGCTAACTCTATGGATCCAAGAAAGGCTGCTTATTGCTAGTAACCAATGGTGTATAAAAAATGTTGTTCCAAGATTGTGTTCCCCATTTGGGACCCCAGTTTCAGATCTCAGATCCTAAAAGTCAACAGTTTCTTGTGTGGGCCCTAAGAGGTAAACCAGAAAGAATGATCTGAAAGGATTGCGATGAGTGATGTACTCCGAAAAGTGAGACAGCGAGATTAGTCAGGTCAAAATGCAGTCGCCAACTTGTGGATTTATCTGACTGTATTCTGAAGAGACAACCGCATTTGTCTTGGATTATATGACATGAGACTGCAAAACGCTGCTCAAACTATACCACGTGCCATACAATCAGTCAAGGTACCCAGCGGAATGCCAATCACCAGGATGAGCTGCAGCAAGGCGATGGATTTCATGGAGAAATTGGATTTTTTCATGGGAATAGGGACCACAGATCTGATCTATACAATTTTCAACCGTGAAAACTATACAGCCCATACAACGACATGTAGATTTATTGTCAGTGTCTGAATCTTTGTTGAGAACACCATTGTCCACAAACCTCCAAAACCAGTGAGTCTCCAGTTTGATCATAGACGAGGTTATTATTTTTGCGACCATCTCCAAGTTACATGGATTGATTTCAACGAAACCTTACAGGGTTCGTCACCATACTGGCCATGCTGCGAAAAGCTGGTAAAAGCTGGTAAAAACCATGGGTGTCTTTTTGAACCAAGGCACCAGAAGCACCAAACAACTACAGCAGCAACAGCTTTGACACAGCGCTGACGCCGACCGTCGAAGACCCTTCCCATGACGCCTCAGCGCAGACAGTGGGGTCACTATCCCAAAAGATGGTCCTGCAACCCTGCTGTTGTTGTTGCTGCTGTTGATATTGTTCTTTTCCGGTGGTTTTTGTTCATATTGTTTCTTGTTGCTGTTGTACTACCCTGTTTTTTCTTTTCTTGTTCCTTTTCTTTTTCTGGTTCTGTTTCTTTTTCTTCCTCTTCCTCTTCCTCTTCCTCTTCTTCTTCTTCTTCTTATTCTTCTTCTTCTTCTTTTTTTCTTCTTATTTTTCTTCTTCTTCTTCTACTTCTTCTTCTTCTTCTTCCTTTCTTCTTCTTCTTCTTTTTCTTCTTTTTCTTCTTCTTCTTCTTCTTTTTCTTCTTTTTCTTCTTCTTCTTCTTCTGCTTCTGCTTCTGCTTCCTCTTCCTCTTCCCCTTCCTCTTCCTCCTCCTCTTCCTCTTCCTCTTCCTGTTCCTCTTCCTCTTCCTCTTCCTCCTCCTCTTCCTCTTCCTCTTCCTCTTCCTCTTCTTCCTCCTCCTCCTCTTCCTCTTCCTCTTCCTCTTCCTCCTCCTCCTCCTCCTCTTCTTCGTCTTCTTCTTCTTCTTCTCCTTCTCCTTCTCCTTCTCCTTCTCCTTCTCCTTCTCCTTCTCCTTCCCCTTCTCCTTCTCCTTCTCCTTCTTGCTGCTACTGCTGCATTGTTCTTCTGCTGATGTCTGCTGCCCTCTTTTAGCACCAATCGGCCCTGCTCCCTGCACCTTGCTCCGCACTTTTGGCAGAATTTGGCCGTCTGCTCCCAACGATGCCCACAATGGCGACAATGGAGCTCCTCCTCATCATCCGACCTCAGCAGTCATGGGAGTCACACCCACCATGTGTTTTGTGGTCTGAACGGGATCTTTTTTGCCAGGATGATGATCACAAAAAAACTACCAAAACCACCAGATTGTTCTAATCGATTATAAATTGTAAGTCAAAAAGCCTTTTTGCTAGTGAGATTCCCATTTACTGTTGCTAAATCCTCCATTTGCGCTCAGTCGTAACCCTCAAGGAAAACCACAGATCTCAGGCACTCAGGCGTGGCTTCATCCGAGACCAATGATCGTCTTTCAAGATCACCACTGTACACCATGGCGGCGACTGCAAATGACATCCAGTTTGTCAAAAGTTGGCCTAGAGGGGCTTCATAGGGTTGTGGATCCGCTCCCTCATGGAATCTCCGAGTGAACATGAAAATAGATGGGAGTTGTGGATGTTCATGGCAAAAAAATGCTTTCATTGGTATTGAATTATCCCTATATTTCAGGCCCAACTAACCAGCGAGATCCAGGGAGTACAGTGATATATCAAATATGGTCTCAACCATTCTTGCTCTTGGGAAGTTTATGTTCAATCGTCAAAGGTACGTCGTGGGTTTGAGACGTGACAAAATGGGCCGGGCTTGGCGTGTCATGTGGTTGTCAGGTCGAAGGGCTTTCAGGGATGTTGGTAAACCCTTTCACCATCCCGAACAGTTTACCAGCTCTTCCATGGAGGGCGATTTCTTTGTTGGGTTTTACCCTTGCAAAAGAGTTGTTCTTGGACAAAATCGCTGGTCTTGGCTCATCACCAGTAGTGGCTGGGTCAGTTCAGCAATGTTCAGCACACGTTCAGCGTACCCGCTTTGGGGCTTGAGCTGGCACGGCAAAGTCATGTACCACACATGTGACCCAATCACTTGATGGGGATCTCATTTTGAAGGGGACTTCACTACTAGCCCGCCAATCAGAGCTCAACACGAGTTTGCAATCATGCTTGATATTTCTTCTAATGTCGTAAACCCAATCATGAACCAACCCCCAAAATCACCATGAATGGGTTGTATCATAGTATCAACCATCCCAAAGTGGTAGGTTTGTGGCATTAGGTCTACCACATTGCTGCAGTGTCCCCGTCTCCATCACCAAGTCCACCACCAGCCTTGTAGGTGATACGAGAGGTGACATCGAACATGATGATGGCGCACTGGCCTTTACCATCTGGTTTCCCCCCGGCAATCTAATCTGACTAGTTGAAATAACATCCATCGCCATGGTTATATAGATTGGATTGGATTAGTCAGTTAGATTGGAGTAGTTTAGATTCGACTAGATTAGATTAGATTAGTCCAGATTAGATTGAGTCTGATATTGAGATTGAGACTAGACAGACAGATAGACATGTATCCACCCATCACTCCATTTATAGACAAGTACACATATATCATATTATATGTACGTAATGTGTACATATATATATATGATATGTGTATATCTTCATGTAACATGCATCATGTATCATGTATATATAGCCATATCTGATTTGCATAGGGTACATGCCATTGATGGTGGCCCGGGTCACCCTCGTTCGAACCTTGGATGTAATAACCATCTCGAAGGCCTCCGAACTTCTCCTGCCGGATTTCCATGTCGCTGGCAGCTTTCCGAAAGAAATGCTGGGGGGGTATTGGCCAAGATTCAAGATGCGTTTTCGAAAAAAAAATGTTTGTCCAGTACAGTCCCTGACAATAATCTCCATTTTTGGGGGGCAACTTCTCCAGGTATTCCACTCAAAGACTTGCATTTTTGCAGCCCTTGACCCATCCCTGGTCAGTCCTGGCCAGCGGTATCCCAGACGTTGAAAGTCAGTGGGCCACCTGCACCACTGAAGGTTTGGCTTCTCGCGAGTTAGCCAACTTGGGGATTTCCCCGCAGTCTATTTGGCATGGAGGAACATGATGACACCATGAACTGGAACAAGGTTCCAGAATCTGAGACAACACTAAACACATCCAATGGTAAGGCGTTTTGCAAATGTAGCAATCATCAGTGAAGATAGTGGCAACTTCAGTGACCTGGAATGCATTGACTGCTGGATCTATCTTCAATCTTGTAACTGGACTGTATGGGTTCCATTTGCTTGTGCGACGGCCTTTCTTGCCAAGAATAACATAAGTCTCGAACGGATAATTCATGTCTTCCATCGTTTTGCTGAATCACGCAAGGAAAAAGTATTGAAGAAACTGGTCTGATGCGCCATCACTAAGGCAGCGACCATCACAGACCAATCACTAGGCCCACTAGGCCCCCGGGCAATTCGTGGTGAACCGCAGTGGGTGCACTTCCACACCTCGACATCTCGTTGCGGTACCAGGTGGACAGCTCCCTAGATCCAAAAGCAGTGGACTGCCACAGTTTGAGACTCCACACCCAACGTCGGGATATACTTCTTCTCGAACTCGCCTGGCAGGGGTTCTCCGTGAGGGTCAGTGTGAGCGGGCACTCAATGTCAGTGGAAAGCATACCCCAACTGGTTCCTACAATCACACTTGTTGGACAACACTGACAACAGTGACAACAACCAGAACGACGACAACGACGGCAGATGTGACTATGGGTCAACACCCTACCACCCTTCTGTTCACGCCAAAATTCATTCATGGTGTTTATGGCAGTTCATTCCAAAAAAAAACCGCCCACACCGCTTTGGCGGTGAAGGCGTGCTTATTGGGGGGCAAAACAGCAACACTAAATGCTCAATGACATTTGTTAATATAGCAGTCGCTATATCAGCTTTAGCTGGGGGGGGGCCAAAACGGTTTCGCACCGAGACCAGAATACGGTGGTGTTTTCGACATTTTTCGAGGATTTTTGGGTGTCTGAGCGCAAGAGGGTATTGAAATGGAATTTTGGGTCATTTTGGTAGCTTTTCGGCAATGGAAAAACGGCCAAAAATGAAAAAAAACATTGTACATAGCAAGAATTTGCAGGGTTTTTGGATGCCAGGGCATTGAAAACACTGCAAAAACAAGTGTTTTGGACTGACGTTATAGCAAAAAACGTGTAAATTACCGTATGCTTGACTGGAAGCATTACAAAAACACTGTCAAAAGCAATGTTTTGGAAGGATTTACTGCCTTTATGGCAAAAAACGTGTAAATTACCGTCTGTTTGACTGGAAACATTGGAAAAACACTGTCCAAAACAATGTTTTGGAAGGATTTCTTATATATATGTTGGAGTTGGCTACCGGCATTGGCACATGGAAAAATTGAAGAAAACACTGTAAATAGCGGTATTTTCAACGGTTGGGGAGATAAGGGAATTGGAAGCATTGTCGAACATGATGTTTTCGACCGGTTTTATGGCGACAAAAGTGTAAAGTACCGTGCTTTGAAAGAAACCATTGCAAAAACATGGAAACACATTCAAAGACCACGGGATTTGGGGGACTATCTAGGCGTCGTTGTCTAGCTATTTGAAATTCCGCAGCTTGGAGAGCCTCCAAGGGAGGGAAAAGTGAAAATTCCATAGCTTGGGAAGCTGTCACGGCGGGGAAAGGTGAAAATTCCCTAGCTTGGGAAGCCCCCACGGGGGGGAAAGGTGAAAATTCCCTAGCTTGGGGAGCCCCCACGGGGGGGAAAAGTGAAAATTCCCTAGCTTGGGGAGCCCCCACGGGGGGGAAAAGTGAAAATTCCCTAGCTTGGGGAGCCCCCAGGGGGGAAAGTTCAAATTCTTAGCTTGGGGAGCCCCCACCGGGGAAAACCACCCTTAGCCCCTCTCACGGACCTAAATAAACCTGCGGTGTGGGCGGCCACCCCACGCGAAGCGGGGTGAATATGGTAGAGTTATGGGTCTGGATCCATCCGGCCATGTCAGAAATCGATCAGCCAGGGCCTGTCAAGTGGCGCTTCACCAAAGTGGTCTTCCCAACACCGCCATCGCCACACAGGACGAGCTTGAACTCTGGTCCTGGCGCCCATTCCATCCCAAGGTTCAAAACCTGTCTGTTTTTTTGCCCCATAAAGGGCCATGATTTTGCTGCAAATCCCACATTTTGGGGAGCTGTGTGTGAAATTCTGTAAACCATACACTCCCCCAAACTGCCCTGCAGGGGTCTGATGTGCGATGGCTCCTCCTGGTCCCGCCATGTCTTCACCCGCGCGGTCAGGTTTCTGTCAGAGATCACTAATGGCACTGGAGCCATTCGTAGCGACATTCCGTACCAAGTTTATGGCTACCAGGTGCCAAATGAAAGTCTAGAAATCCGTTTGGAGTTTCTGATCTCTTAGAAGTACCAGGTTTTGAATGCTGCACCAACAGGAATCAATCAACTGGAATTTGGGGCTCTCATGGGGAGCCAGCATGGACACACAATTTAGACGGGGACTAAACATCTACAAGATATTCTGCCCACGAGCTGGAGCTATACCCCAACCATCCCCAACTAGCTCCAACTAGCCCCAACTAGTTGGGCGTACAACCAGCTTCCAACCCAACTCATTGGGTGCCACAACCCAGCCACTGGGATTAGACCCCAACTGCAAATCATCCCGCAGCCAGCTCTCTTTGCTCGACCAGACTGCTTGGGATCTGTCCCCCCAGGCGTTGAAGCACATGCGCCGTGCCAGCCTGCCAGGTCGAGGTAGTGCCATGCCAACATGGTAAGGTCAGCTCCGAACTGGCATTCCACCACCATTTCTAGTGGATTGTAACTTAAGCTATTATTGTGGCATCATTTGTAGCCGGGATTCACATCTAAAAGTGGCTGACGAATTATGCAGAGTTCATTGCTGGTATCAGTACTATCAGAATATCACCATTTGGCTGGGAAAGTCACGATGTCTCTTCACCAGTTGTGATTTCTGGACCTTACTGACAAATGTACTATATAATCAAAAGGAATAAAAAAGAGCTATTCCCGGATGTTCTACCTCCATTTCCCATAGATTTTTCCCTTGTGAGATGTTTTTTTTAAGACCTTAAACTCAGGTTCCATCCATTTCCAACCATGTTTCACCTCATTTTTCCCATGATTTTCCTCCACCCCTGGGCCCTGGGCCCTGTGCCTCTCGGAGTTCCGGCACCAGCTCCTGCCACTCCGCCAGATTCGCCAACGCCGAGGCGGCCCTCCAGGCCGCTGGCCCCGCTCCGCCAGCACAGGCCAGCAGCGCTGGGATGCCTCCGCCATGGCCATGGCAAGGGAATATATGATATAAATTGATATAATATGGATACCAACCAGAGCTCCTTGGAGTGATTTGGGGATTGTGTCTTTTTGGCTGTTTTGTGATGGTTTCCTTCCGTTGTTCTTGGTGTTTTGTGAGGTGCTGATATGGCTGTTTCCCTCGTGGTGGAAAAGCAGAATTCGGAAGCTGATGTTTTATTCTGCTGGCAGTTATCTGTTGGTTTTCGGATTGTTTTTTGGGAATTCGGATCATGTTTGAAATAAGTTTCTTTGATTAGGATAAAATCATATATATATATACACACAATATTCATCAATATTCTACATACAATTATGTATGTATACTATATACATATGATTATATATATATATAATGATTTATATATACTATATATATATTTATGGATATACACCTTTTACAGCCTTCGGAACTCCAGTGGTTCCCCCTAGGACTGCCCAAAGCGCCTCCAGCACTTTGCAGCGCCCGGGCGCCGCTGCGATCTGCCGCAATATTTCTGAGCCTGGGACGACTTTAAACCATTGGATGAAATAGAATG